TGCTTCCCCTTCCATCACTCACCCTCGGTTTCCCCCTGAGCCTTCATCCTGACAGTGGGGAAGGCCTGAGTCCTACACAACTGGACCAGCTCTTCCCCACCACTATCGGGGGGATCAAGTGGGCTGGGGTTCCCAGGACGCGGGGCACCTGCAGTCCCCACTCTTCCCGAGAAGGCTCAGTCTGAAGTCCCTGGCGGCAGGAAGAGAAGGGTGCTCCCGGCCGCCGCCATCTTCCCCAACGGAACTTCCCAAAGATCGCGAGATTAACCGTGATCCTGCGAGAGAGCGGAAGAGGGAGGGACGCCGAACGATCCCGAAAAAGGATTAATGGTGTGCTTCTCGCGAGATTTTTCCAACTGAGCCTTCCCTTAGCTGTCGGTTGTTTAGACTTTCTGCAGCTAGGTACGGTGCTTGGCAGGTGGTAGGTAGCCCACCCAGCTCCTGACACATGTCATAGATACCAAGCATGTTGTTGGGATAAATTGATAGGGTTGCCAGATAAAATACGGAACACAGTTAAATTTGAACTTCAAGCCTAACCGGTTTGGCTCAGTGGATAGAGTGTTGGCCTGCGGACTGAAGGGTCCCAGGTTCGATTCCGGTCAGGGGATGTGCCTTGGTTGCGGGCACATCCCCAGTGGGGGGTGTGCAGGAGGCAGCTGATCAATGTTTCACTCTCATCGATGTTTCTAGCTCTCTATCCCTCTCCCTTCCTCTCTGTAAAATTTCAATAAAATATATATATTTTTAAAAATTTGAACTTCAAGAAGTAAATTTTTTTTTTGTATAAAAGTATGTTCCAAATAGTATAAGCCTAGCAACCTTAAAGTTGATGGAGTACGGAGAGCATTTATCCAAGTGAGAATTCTTTTTATATATATATATTGATTTCAGAGAGGAAGGGAGAGAGAGAAAGATAGAAACATCAATGATGACAAAGAATCATCGATTAGCTGCCTCCTGCACAACCCCCACTGGGGATAGAGCCCCCAACCTGGGCATGTGCCCTTTACCAGAATCAAACACGGGACCCCTTCAGTCCACATTCTGACGCTCTACCCACTGAGCCACACCAGCTAGGGCCCAAGTGAGAATTCTTGTTTTGTTGGTTTTTTGTTGTTGTTGTTTTGAGAGTGCATTTATTAAAGTTGGGGACAGTGAATCAAGGAAGGGTTTAGGATAGAAGAAGCAACTGGAGAGAGCCTAGGTGGGGCTGCTTTGGCTCACTGGGAAGTCAAAGAAAAGCAGGCCTTGGAGACAGGTCAGGGGGGTTAGCCCAGAAAGAGCTGCCACTGCCCATTGCTCCTTTGGCTGCAAGTCTCCTGGGGACCCTGAGATGGGGAGAAAAGGGATGGGTGTGCTTCTGGGAGGGAGAGTGCTGAGAGTTCATATTTTAAATGCTAATTCCTTTTCTGTTGTCAGTGTTCTTCATTCAACAAGCATCTATGGAGTCCTAGTACTTGTGTATATTAATATAATATAAACATGAAAACACAGCCTCAGCCTTTGATGGGCTTATCTGATTTAGAGTTCTGAAAATACAATTGGTCACAATAATCATAGGTATTCAAAATTTTTTGTTAATTTATTATGCCAAAAGTATTAATGTTAGATACACAGCTTCTTCATGGAACCTCTCTGTACATATAAACAATAATGTCTATACTAAATATAGGTAGAAAATGTTAAACCTTACAAAGCTTGAAAATAGAGTAAACTTTAGCAAATTTTGGTCACAGAATAGAATGTTACAATTTCTCATCTAAAAATAAAAATGAAATGACATTGTTAGAAATTTGTACTCAAAAAGATAGGAGAGACATGTCATTAAACAAGAAAAACTGCCGAAACCGGTTTGGCTCAGTGGATAGAGCGTTGGCCTGCAGACTGAAAGGTCTCAGGTTCGATTCCGGTCAAGGGCATGTACCTTCGTTGCCAGCACATACCCAGTAGGGGGTGTGCAGGAGGCAGCTGATAGATGTTTCTCTCTCATCGATGTTTCTAACTTTCTCTCTCCCTTCCTCTCTGTAAAAAATCAATAAAATATATTTTAAAACAAACAAAAAGAAAAACATAGGAAGAATCATCCTATATGGCAAGAAGGGGACAATGGGCAAATTTTAAATGACTAAGCTTTGAGGGTGACTTCAGAGGACTCTTTAAGCCTAAAATCTAAACTAACAAAGTGGTTTGTGGTGGATAGGAAATTATTATAAATTTAGTTTAATCTTTCTTTTTTTTTTCTTTAATCCTCACCAGAATATATCTTTCCATTGATTTTTAAAGAGAGTGGAAGGGAGAGGAGAGAAACATCGATGTGAGAAAGACACATCCATTGGTTGCCTCCTGCACGTACCCCAAACAGGGCCAGGGATTGTGCCTGCAACTGAGGTGCGTGCCATTGAACAGAATCGAACCAGGACCTTTCAGTCTGCAGGTCAATGCTCTATCTACTGAGCCAAACCGGCTAGGGCAAATATTTCTTTTGTGTACAGAGTTATTGAGATATAATGGATAAAGAGCAGCTTTCTCAGTTGCTTTGGGGATTTACAGGGAAAATATAGTAATCACCTGACTGCATCTTGAGGTTCATAGAATTGCCCTGGCTCCCTGCCCTGGGAAGAGATGCAAATAAACTAAATCATGCAGTCTTAGAATTTCTGAGTTTAAAGTTGTGAGTGTTTTTAAATATTTTTATTGTTTTTTGTTTTGAGAGAGAGAGAGAGAGAGAGAGAGAGAGAGAGAGAGAGAGAGAGGATGGGAGAGGGAGAAAGAGAAACATTGATGTAAGAGCTGAATGTCCATCAGCTGCCTCCTGCCCGCCCCTACTGGGGATCAAGCCACAAGTACGTTTGTGCCCTGATCAGAAATCGAACCCACAACTTTTTGCTGCATAGGACAATGCTAAACCAACTGACCTATACTGGCTCCAGTGAGTTTAAGTTTTTCTGTACAGTGAAGCAACCCTTATTTTACAAAATCACTATTCATACCAGTTGTTAGGCCAAACCATGCAGTTTACAGAAGATTTTGCATTTTATTTTTTTAAATATATTTTTATTGATTCCAGAGAGGAAGGTGAGAGGGAAAGAGAGAGATAGAAACATCAATGATGAGAGAGAATCATTGATTGGCTGTCTCCTGCATGCCCCCTGCTGGGGATCGAGTCCACAACCAGGGCATGTGACTTTGACCAGAATCGAACCCGGGACCCTTCAGTCTGCAGGCTGATGCTCTATCCACTGAGCTAAACTATCTAGGACTAGATTTTGTATTTTAACGTTTGGATATAATTTGATATTTTCTAGAATAGATTTTTTTCCAGCTTTATTGAGATATAATTTATATTAGAGTTGAATTTTATCTACCAAACCCCAAAAGTGTAGTGCAATAGAAAGAGTGCTGGTTTAGGATTAAAGAAGGTCAGGGTTCAATCCTGGAGGGGCACGTGCCAGGGATTCAGGCATGATCCCCGGAGCGGGGGGGGGGGGGGGAGGGGGGGGGGTGGGACACAGAGGCAGCCAATCAATGATTCCCTCTCATCATTGATGTTTCTATCTCTCTCTTCATCTCCCTTCCTCTCTAAAATCAATAAAAAATTTTTTTTTAAATCTCAGATAAATTTGCTGGGGGCGGGGTGGGGGGGGAGGGGGAGAATGAATAAGCTTGGAAAAGTCATAACTTTCCTGTGCCTTAGTTTCCTATCGTACACAACCCTATTTCAGAGGTTTGTTGTGAATATGGAATGAATGAGTTAATGTGTGCAAAGGAGTTTCAAAAAGTAAATAATGAGAGGCAGTGTAATATACTATTTTTTCTTATGCATAAATATTACGCTTTTCTCATTTATAATTATAATCTGTGTGAAGATAAAAGGCTAAATAACTCCAGAAGAGCCATAGATGATCCCAAGAGGTGATGAGCTTTCAGGTCCTTAGGTTTTCAGTAGACTGGAAAGAAGGCCATACAATGAAAGAGTTTATGCTTTAGTGTCAGGCATGAATGTGAATCTCATCCTTAGCACTTTCTAGACAAGTTTTGTTACCCTGAGTAAGTTATTGAAACTTTTCTGAGTCTGAGTTTCCTTATCTGTAAAATAGGGATAAGGATATCGTATTTTGCAGGGTAGTATGAGAATTAGAGATAACGTATGTATTATACGCTGTATAAGTTATATGCTTAGGAACTTGGGTTGAAATGTCCCCACCTTTGCCCTGTTGCCAATATTTTCTTTTTTTTAAAATATATTTTTATTGATTTTAGAGAGGAAGAGAGAGGAGGGAAGGAAACACCAATGATGAGAGAGAACCATTTTTTGGCTGCCTTCTGCACACTCCCTACTGGGGATCAAGCCTGCAACTCGGGTATGTGCCCTTGACCAAAATCGAACCCAGGACCCTTTGGTCCTCAGACTGAGGCTCTATCCACTGAGGCAAACTGGCTAGGGCTCTGGGCTACGTTTTAACAGCAAGAATAGCATTGCCCTAGCTATGGGTCCTCCGTTTGATTCCGGTCAAGGGCACAAGCCAGGATTGTGGGCTCCATCGCCAGTGGGGGGTGTGCCGGAGGCAGCGGATCACTGATTCTCTCTAATCATTGATGTTTCTTTCTCTCTCCCTTCCTCTCTGAAATAAAAACAAAATAACAAGAAAGAATAGCATTTAGTACAAACCACCCAGACCTCGAGGCCCGTGTCCTATCTAATAAGCTGTAGTTGAAAATATTAGGTGCGCGGGTGCCTGAGGTACCTGAGAGTGTTTGTTCAAAGAATTATCAATAAAGTTTTGAATAAAAAAATTCTCCTACCTCCGTTTGCATAAAGCTTAGCTCAAATGGGGAAACGAAGAGTTTATCGCGAGAATATGGAAGATCGCGTTTGTGCTTGGGGCCTGTTCTCGCGTTGTTTGATCAAGCAGTAGAAAGAAGTAAAGGGAAAGCACGAAATACCGCGAGCTTAGTATTCTCGCGATATTTCCTGGGCTTGCCCCCTCCCCCTCCTCCGAGTGCCGTTTCGGTTTAACCTAGTGTGGGATTGAGTCTGTGAGGGAGCGATTGAGTGTGTGAGGTACTGAGGTGAGGCGGAGGCAAGAAAAGGAACTCCCTCAGGAGCGAGGGACAAAGGCTGTGTGAGGCACCTAGGCCGCGGGACCTGAGCGACAGGAAGCCACTCCGAGTCGGGCTACCGGGTAGGGGAAAGGCCCGTGCGGTCCTCATTGGGCTCCCGAGCCGGAGTCGGCCCCGCAGCCCTGGGCCGTCGGCTTCCTACTTCCTCGACCTCGCCGGCCCCTGTGCCTGAGGATTGGCGCCGCGTGAGGAGGAGGGCAAACGGACTTGAGCGGCTGCTCGTTGTCTCGCAACCCCACTGCTGAGGAACTCTCGTTTCTTCCCTGGCTCCTTCACCCCTACCTCATGTAGGAGGGTGCCGAGGAGTCGGGAGGGAGGAGGGGCCTGCGCCGCGGTCCCTTCCCTCCCCACCCCCTACTAGGGGTGCTGTGGTAGGCGTGGGGTTGGGATTGGGGGGAGGGTGGGGGTTACTTTTTGGAGTGCTGGGGAACTTTCCCCCCTGTTGAAGCCAGGGGAAAGGGGATGCCCAATCCAGAGAGACATGGGGGCAAGAAGGACGGGAGCGGAGGAGCTTCTGGAACTTTGCAGCCGTCATCGGGAGGTGGCAGCTCCAACAGCAGAGAGCGTCACCGCTTGGCGGCGAAGCACAAGCGGCACAAGTCCAAGCACTCCAAAGACATGGGTTTGGTGACCCCCGAAGCAGCACCTTTGGGGACAGTTATCAAACCTTTGGTGGAGTATGATGACATCAGCTCTGATTCAGATACCTTCTCTGACGACATGGCCTTCAAATTAGATAGGAGGGAGAACGATGAACGTCGTGGAACTGATCGGAGTGACCGCTTGCACAGACATCGTCACCACCAGCACAGACGTTCCCGGGACTTACTAAAAAGTAAACAGACAGAAAAAGAAAAGAAACAGGAAGTTTCCAGTAAGTCGGGATCAATGAAGGACCGGATATCAGGAAGTTCAAAGCGTTCAAATGAGGAGAATGATGACTATGGGAAGGCACAGATCTCAAAAAGCAGCAGCAACAAGGAATCCAGGTCATCCAAACTCCACAAGGAGAAGACTCGAAAAGAACGTGAATTGAAGTCTGGGCACAAAGACCGGAGTAAAAGTCATCGGAAAAGGGAAACACCCAAAAGTTACAAGACAGTGGACAGCCCCAAACGGAGATCCAGGAGTCCCCACAGGAAATGGTCTGACAGCCCTAAGCAAGATGATAGCCCCTCAGGAGCTTCTTATGGCCAAGATTATGACCTTAGTCCTCCAAGATCTCACACCTCCAGCAATTATGACTCTTACAAGAAGAGTCCTGGAAGCACCTCAAGAAGGCAGTCTATTAGTCCACCTTACAAGGAGCCTTCGGCCTACCAGTCCAGCACCCGGTCACCCAGTCCCTACAGTAGACGGCAGAGATCTGTGAGTCCCTATAGCCGGAGACGTTCCTCAAGCTATGAAAGGAGTGGCTCTTACAGTGGGAGATCACCCAGTCCCTATGGTCGACGGCGATCCAGCAGCCCTTTCACCAGCAAACGGTCTCTGAGTCGGAGTCCGCTCCCCAGGTGAGCTGTTTGTCTAACAGTCCTTTCTTTCTTAGGGTGGGTTATGAGAAACTGGCAATTAGTAATGTTAGGTTGATGTTCCCATTATTCATTGACTAGAACACTTTACTATTGGCTAGTCACTCGAGTGAATCTGGTCTCCTCTTAACCCAGAATTTGAAAAGTGGAGAGTTACATGCCTAAAACTGCTAAAGGTAGGTACTTCCAGTGACAGGGTCTTCAGCTGTAAGCTCCTGTGTAAGAAAAATTATGCACGGAGTTGATACTGCTTTCCAAAGCTTATCTGGTTTTTTCTGTTCCTTTGTTTTAAATTTTTTAAAAATCACATTGGTATTAGTGCTTGAGACCTCATTGAACCTGATTAGAGATGTAAAAAATTACAGATTTTCATTTGAATTATCTTGAAGCTATTTGCCTAGCCCTAGTGAATTACCCATTTGGGTACTAGGCTTTGGGCTTTAGAGTTTGGCCTCAGTGGGAGACTCCTGCCTCCTGCCTCCTGCCTGGGGCCTCCCCCACTTCCAGTCCAGCCCCTCCTGTTCCCATGGTGATGTAAGAAAACAAATTAGAGCAAGTTGCTTTTCAACTGCAACCCCTGCAGAGCTGCCACTGCCCTCTGGAGAAAGCCCATACCCCCTAGCCCTAGGGGTCATCTACCATTTGTTCTGCCCACTGTCTTCAAACTTGTTAAATTTACTTATTTCCTAGTAGACAATGTTTTGGTAACTTACAAAAGGCTCCTGTCTTTTCACAGATATTTCTAGTGGAAATTCAGCTGATTCGTGCTTTTTCCTTTTGATGGTAGAGCCTATTTTCCAGAAATTGGTTCCAATAATAATTTGATTTTCTTTATAGCACCACCATTGACCTATTAAGATTTGCTGTATTCTGTGACCACTGGCAATTTTAAAAATGTTTCTGAAAAAATGGTAATAGTGCTTTACTGTGTTACTTTTGCAAGAAAGACGTTAGTTTGAAATTTATTTTATTTTTATTTTTATTTTTTAAATATATATTTTATTGATTTTTTTACAGAGAGGAAGGGAGAGAGATAGAGAGTTAGAAACATCGATGAGAGAGAAACATCGATCAGCTGCCTCCTGTACATCTCCCACTGGGGTTGTGCCCGCAACCCAGGTACATGCCCTTGACCGGAATCGAACCTGGGACCTTTCAGTCCGCAGGCCGACGCTCTATCCACTGAGCCAAACCGGTTTCGGCATGAAATTTAATTGTTAGAGTGTTCTTGTTCGTAGATGATGAAATTGTACCTCTCTCTTTGTGGACTCACCTTTGTCCACAAAAGCAGAACATGGGCTTTGGAGTTATACCTGAGTGGGGTCCTAATCTTGCTGTGTGTCCTTTGGCAAATAATTTCTCCATGCCCAAGTTTTTTCTTGTGTAAAATGGGAATAATAACGACCAACTTCTAGAGCTGTTTTGAGGATTAAATTAGTAAATATGAAGTGCATAGTACAGTGCCTGGAACCTGAAGCCAGTCAGTAAATTATATGAGTAAGGAAAATGTTGTTGAATACTTACAGAGAAATTACTCTAACTTGAAAAAACCCATGCATATCTTTTATATGTCAATGTGAGTAATTTTTGTCAACTTACATTTATAATTATTCATAAACTAGTTTGAATTGATCAAGCCTGCCGAGTTCCTAGTTGTCAAGGTTCGAAGTTCCTTAGTTTTTCACTCCATTTCATAATAATTTTTCAAAAACAGAAAGTTTAAAGAATTGTAGTAAGGACCCATACATATACCACCTACATTCTACAATTAATATTTGCTATATATTTTATATCTGTCCATCGATTCACCTTTTGTTGTGATTTAAAGTAAATTGCTGACATCAGTATACTTCACTATAAACCCTTTATTTAGGCTGTGTATCATTAGCTAGAGGTCATAAGCTAATGAGGAGTAAAATTTATATACAGGGAAGTGGACATCTTAAGTGTACCATTTGAAAGTTTAGTTTTTTAAGGAACACTAAGAAATGAAATATTTTCAAAGTTTTTCTTTTGTTTAAGTGAAAGAGTTTATTAGTGAAGCAGTACACAGAAAGTGGCTATTCCACAGACAGTAACCAAATACTTGTTTTCTTGAGGGAGTAGTTTAATAAAGCTGTTCTGAGAATTTTTATTGTGGGGTTTGGGAATACAGAAGTAAGTGCATTAGGGCTAAAACACTAAAATGAGTTTCAGTAAGAACTGTGGCTTTGCAGTGATTCCTTTTGGATTCATAGCTTAAGTTTTCTTCTCAGTTAATTGGAACTAGTGCAGAAATGGTTAAAATAAATCAAGAAAGAATTGGAGACACATTATGATAGTATAGGAAATAAATATAAGTACCTCATTATAACCTTAGAGTCAAATGCACATTTTTAGTTGGTTTGTAGAGAGCATCATATGTTTGAATTGTGCATTATATATTTTTCCTCATTTGTTGGAATTCCAAACAGTAAGTATAAAACTTTCTTAGAGTCAGAGTAAAGGAACATACAGATCCTTCTATGGTATTCTCTGTGTTTTTTCCTTGGGAGAGAGTCAAAATTAAACAAGCAGCGTTGTTTTAAAAGACAAAATGCATTGGCAGAAATGCAAGGTCTTTGTATTTACCAAATTAGTAGTGATGAATAGTAGCAATTTCATTTCAGATGGATGGAACCTAACTTAATTCAGGGGAAAAGTATATTTAGTTTTGAAGACAATTTTTTTTTATTTATTTTTTTAAAATATATTTTATTGATTTTTTACAGAGAGGAAGGGAGAGGGATAAAGATTTAGAAACATCGAAGAGAGAGAAACATCGATCAGCTGCCTCCTGCACACTCCCCACTGGGGATGTGCCTGCAACCAAGGTACATGCCCCTGCCCGGAATCGAACCTGGGACCCTTGAGTCCGCAGGCTGACGCTCTATCCACTGAGCCAAGCCGGTCAGGGCGGCAATTTTTTTTTATTATCTGACTTTACCTATTTGCTGTCTCCCCCCTTTAAAAATATTTTTATTGATTTCTGAGAGGAAGGGAGAGGGAGAGACAGAAACATCAATGATGAGAGAGATTCATTGATTGGCTGCCTCCCACTGGGGATTCAGCCCACAACCTGGGCATGTGACCTGACGGGAAATCCATCCGTGACCTCCTGGTTCACATGTTGAAGCTCCACCACTGAACCATGCTGGCAGGGCCTGTCTCTCCCCCCTTTTTTTTCCTTGAAGACTGGGTCTGGATCTCAAATACAACATGTATATCAGAAAAAATACCTTAAGTATATGGCCATCCAAATGTCCCATTAACAGTAGGCTTCTATTCAGAAATTCAAGGGCTTTTAAAGCAAAGTTCCTTAGAAAGATTTAGTCATGCTGAAAGATTATAGAAACAATGCTTTGTATAGCGTGGTCTCTGACATTACTTAGTGTTTGGGATTTTAGAAGTTTTTCTTGGGATAGAGGTGTTAATTTTATACCAGCTATAATTCAAACTGAGAAAACCTCTTGTTTCAGCCAGTTTTTTACAAGTGAAGTATTAATTTGCTTAAGGATAAGTGGGTATTTGATAAATCCACTTAACTACTCTCGGTAGTTTACATACATACATACATACATACATACATACATGTTGTTGTTTTGGGTACTTTGATTCTAATAATGACTTTATATTTTAACTAAGTTTTGGGGGCAAATTTCCAAAGAGCAGTATAGGTATAAGAAAATCATGGCTAACACCATGTGAGTTGTTTTCACTACACATATATGCTATTTGTTTTGGAATGTTTTGATTCATGTCAGTCTTACCAGTGATCAAAGATAAAGGGAGGTACTGAAGATCTGGAATGGGAACAATTTGTTTTACACTGCTGAGCAAATTATATTTTGTCTAATTACATTTTAGTGCTAATTTCCCCCATACACACTCACACACCTTGAAGCCTAAGCACATTAGGGTTTTTCAAAAAGCAAAAGGGCCCTCACTGGTTTGGCTCAGTGGATAGAGCATTGGCCTGTGGACCCTGGGTTTGATTCCGGTCAGGGGCATGTGCCTGGGTTGCCGGCTCGATCCCCAGTGGGGTGCATGTAGGAGGCGGCCAATTGGTGATTCTCATCATTGATGTTTCTATCTCTCTCTCTCTCTGCCATCCTCTCTGAAATCAATAAAAATATAAATAAAGCAAAAAGAGTGCAGCCAGCATGGCTCAGTGGTTAAGCATTCAACCTATGAACCAGGAGGTTACAGTTGGATTCCCCGTCAGGTCACATGCCTGGGTTGTGGGCTGGATCAGGAGGCAGCTGATCAAGAATCTCTCATCCTTGATGTTCCTTTTTTTTTTTTAATATATTTTATTGATTTTTTACAGAGAGGAAGGGAGAGGGATAGAGAGTTAGAAACATCGATGAGAGAGAAACATCGATCAGCTGCCTCCTGCACACCTCCTACTGGGGATGTGCCCACAACCAAGGTACATGTCCTTGACCGGAATCGAACCTGGGACCTTTCAATCCGCAGGCTGACGCTCTATCCACTGAGCCAAACCGGTTAGGGCTCATCCTTGATGTTCTAGCTCTCTCTCCCTCTCTCTTCCTCTCTGAAATCAATAAAAACATTTTTTTAAAAGAGGAAAGAATGAGGGTTGGGTTTCAATTTAGAATAATCTGCCTCATAGCTTCTAAAGTTTTACTTCCCCGACCCTTTCTTAATAAAAATAAAATGAAAGTGCAATAATACCTCGCTTTATGAGTTCCTAAAAAGTTGATTAGAAATTATTTTATATTTGAAAGTACCAGAAGCCATTATGGTTTTGAGAACTTTTAATAAATTATTTTGGTAAGACAGTTCTTGCATCTTGGGGGTTTGTTTAGGCACAACTTAATTATAAATTGAGGATACAAGGAACAAAACTTTTTTCTTGGGATCTGTCAATTAAGTAGTTCTCTAGTTAAAAACTTAGATTTTGGGCCTGGCTGATGTGGCTCAATTATTGAGCGTCATCGACCCATGCACCAATAGGCCACCAGGTCTGTTCCTGGTCAGGGCACATACCTGGGATGCAGGCTCGATCCCCAGCATGGGGCATGCAGGAGGCAGCCAATCAGTGTTGATGATTCTATCTCATCTATGTTTTTATCTCTCTCCCCCTCTCTCTTCCTCTCTAAAATAAATAAAAACACAAAAAATTTTATATTTTGGTGAAGCATGCTTGTTACTTTTAATTTCTTGATTGATATAACCCCCTTTGGTATAAAGTATGACTTTTTAAATCATGTTTTCACTTTATCAGAAATTTAAACCAAAATTCTAAAAGTAAACATTGTGAATATTGGTATTTCCTAACATGGGGAAAAAATATCGATCTTCCTTTGGTTAAATAATTTTTAGTGTTATATGATAGAAATGTATTGTCATACAGGATTTAGTTCCTATTAAACTTTTTTTAGAATAGTTTTAGATTTACAGAAAAATTGTGAAGATAGTGCAGAGTTCTTATATGTCCTGAAACCCAGTTTCCCCATTAACATCTTATATTAGTATGATACATTTGTTACAATTAAACCAATTAATGAACCAATGTTGATTTATTATTGTTTGACAACTATTTTAAGATTGCTAACTTAAAGTGTTTTTTTTTTTAAGTTATAGTTCTCCATAGTTTAACTGATCTATTTTCCTTTATTTTGTTATAGCCTATCCATTGAACTGTCTTTTTCTTTTTCCATTAGGAAGTCCATGAAGTCTAGAAGTAGAAGTCCTGCATATTCAAGACATTCATCTTCTCATAGTAAAAAGAAGAGATCCGGGTCACGTAGTCGACATTCCAGTATCTCACCTGTCCGACTTCCATTGAACTCCAGCTTGGGAGCTGAACTCAGTAGGAAAAAGAAGGAAAGAGCAGCTGCTGCAGCAGCAGCAAAAATGGATGGAAAGGAATCCAAGGGTTCACCTATTATTTTGACTAGAAAAGAAAACAGTTCAGTAGAAGCTAAGGATTCAGGTTTGGAGTCTAAAAAGTTACCCAGAGTTTTAAAATTGGAAAAATCTGCCCCAGATACTGAACTAGTGAATGTAACACATCTAAACATAGAAGCCAAAAATTCTTTAGATACAGGGAAAGTAAAGGTGGATGAGAACTCTGAAAAGCATCCTGTTCTTAAAGATTTGAAAGTACAGGGATCAAGAGACACTAAACCCATGGCATTGAAGGAGGAGATTGTTACTCCAAAAGAGACAGAGACAACAGAAAAGGAGACCCTTCCACCTCTCCCCACAGTTACTTCTCCTCCACCTCCTTTACCAACTACTACCCCTCCACCTCAAACCCCCCCTTTGCCACCTTTGCCTCCACTACCAGCTATTCCACAGCAACCACCTCTGCCTCCTCCCCAGCCAGCATTTAGTCAGGTTCCTGCTTCTAGTCCTTCAACTTTACTCCCTTCTGCCCACTCAAGGACGTTTACTCTGTCCTCTCAGGCAAATTCTCAGCCCTCTGTACAGGTTTCTATGAAGACTCAAGTGTCTGTAACAGCTGCTATTCCACACCTAAAAACTTCAACGTTGCCTCCTCTGCCCCTTCCACCCTTACTACTTGGAGAAGATGACATGGATAGGTAAGTCCCATAGTTAACTGAGAAAACTTAACCTCTTGATCTAAGTGTAATACATTTTTCTCAAACTTTGGTAAAACTGCTCTAATGCATTGCTATTTAGAATGTTTTTATGAATAGGAAATGCCTTTGATGTTCAGTTTTCAGTGGAAAAGTCTTTATTTATGATGATACTTAGGAAGAATTACAATTTGAGGCCCAGTAACCCTTTTTCTCATGAGTCTATTTATTGATAAGGCTACTTTGGATTCAAATTTTAAAAAATCAATAGCACTTTCTTTTCAAACCTTTGTGTTGAAAATTTTAGTAGCTATAGAAAATTTTTTTAAATGATACAATTAACACCCTTATACTCTTCACCTAGATCAGTGGTTTTCAACCTTCTGGCCCTTTAAATACAGTTCCTCATGTTGTGACCCCAACCATAAAATTATTTTCGTTGCTACTTCATAACTGTAATGTTGCTACTGTTATGAATCGTAATGTAAATATCTGATATGCAGGATGGTCTTAGGCAACCCCTGTGAAAGGGTCGTTCGACTGCCAAAGGGGTCGCGACCCACAGGTTGAGAACCACTGACCTAGATCCACCAGTGGTTAACTTTCAGTCACATTTGCTTTAACTGCAAATATTTGATACTTCTGAGTACTTCAATATGTCTCTAATAACAACAACATAGTATAAATAATAACCTATATATGTAAAAGCCTAAGCGACCATTACCACTGAATGACTGGAACAACCGGTCGGCCAGTCGCTATGACGTGCACTGACCACCAGGGGGCAGACGCTCAATGCAGGAACTGCCCCCTGGAGGTCAGGGCACTCCCACAATCGGGGGGGGGGGGGGGGGGGGGGGGGGGGGGGGGGGGGGGGGGGGGGGGGGGGGGAACCCCCCGCCCTCCCGCATGCCAGCCCCCCCACAATAGCCCCATGGGGGGTGGCGCCAACCTCTCATGGTCCCTCCCCCCAGCTGGCTGACCCCCCATAGGCCTCGATTGCCAGCCAGGCCTAGGGACCCCACCCGTGCACGAATTCGTGCACTGAGCCTCTAGTAGTAGTAGTAGTAGTAGTAGTAGTAATAATAGTGAATATCCTCAGTGGTCCCTAAAATGTCTTATGGCTTTTGTTTTGTTTTGTTTTGTTTTGTTTTTTCTTCCTGGCCCAGCAGAAAAATAAGCCAGGTTTATTTATTTCAAAAGGTTCTGCTTTAAAAAACACACAAAAACCAGTTATTCTATAAGAAGCAGAAAAACAGTATGTAGAATCTTTATTATTTAGAATACAATTCACAATGGGATGATGAGAAAAACTAATTTTAATAAGTTCTCTGAGTATTGAGAATTGATTAAATGATTATGAAGCATGAGTCTAATTTTATAGAAGACATTAGGAAATATTTTTAATTTCTTGACAGAACCAGCTAGGCAATTGCCACCAAACACAATTTAGCAATGACATATACCATGACAGTATTTATGTTACTGTTTTGTTTTTAAAAATATATATATATTATTGATTTTTTTTACAGAAAGGAAGGGAGGGGGATAGAGTTAGAAACATCGATGAAAGAGAAACATAGACCAGCTGCCTCCTGCACACCTTCTACTGGGGATGTGCCTGCAACCAAGGTCCATGCCCTTGACCGGAATCGAACCTGGGACCTTTCAGTCCTCAAGCCGACACTCTATCCACTGAGCCAAACCAGTTAGGGCTATGTTACTCTTTTTTACTGAGATTCCCTTTTGTTCTCTAGGATATAAGTTTAGTTTACTGCACCAATTTTTCATTGTAAGCACAAAAATAAGTACCACTGATCTTGCATCCTATACCAATTCTCAACCCTTTATTACTTTCCAGGTGACATAGGTAATTTTGAACAGTGATACATTTCAGCCATTTAGATCTGTATTTTTCCAGACTACCCTCTGTACCTTTTAGGAAGGTGCAAGTGCAATAAATGGGGAAAAAACCCTCCCTCTAAAACTTTTTTTTTTAATATATTTTATTGATTTTTTACAGAGAGGAAGGGAGAGGGGCAGAGAGCTAGAAATATTGATGAGAGAGAAACATCAATCAGCCGCCTCCTGCACACTCCCCACTGGGGATGTGCCCGCAACCAAGATACATGCCCTAGACCGGAATCGAACCCAGGACCCTTGAGTCCACAGACCGACGCTCCATCCACTGAGCCAAACCAGTTAGGGCTCTCTAAAACTTTTTAAAAGAATGGTAGTAAATCTGATTTTAAAGAAAAATTCCACATTCTTTTCTAATATTAATAGGTATTTATGAATTCTGCCACATACTGAGAACTACAAAGACGAGTAACAGAGCCTGAAATTTATGTAGAAATACTTACAGATACAAAAGCTATATGTTTTTACAGTTTTTGTTGGAAAAGGAACATAGTCAGTTTAACGTCATCCAAAGGGACCATAGGCCATTATCTTACCCACAAGAACCACATTTTTAAAAAATATATATTTTATTGATTTTTTACAGAGAGGAAGGGAGAAGGATAGAGAGTTAGAAACATTGATGAGAGAGAAACATCAATTCAGCTGCCTCCTGCACACTCCGTACTGGGGATGTGCCCGCAACCAAGGTATATGCCTCTGACCAGAATCGAACCTGGGACCCTTCAGTCTGCAGGCCGACGCTCTATCCACTGAGCCAAACCAGTTGTGGCTAGAACCACATTTAAATATAGTTTTATGTAGTGGTTAGAGCAATATCAGTATGGCTAAGAATCTTTATTTTGAAATTTTATTTAGCTAGCCAAATAATTATTGAATCAACCTACCATGGGTCATGTGGAGTGCACGTTTTCAGGTGGAATAATGTTGATAGATGGCACATAGGGGTTTCTATATTTCAGATTAGAGATGAAGGCTAAAGTAAGACCATACAGTGCTTATGTAAGTATGTGTGGCTATCTTTAAGAATGTGTATGAGAGAGGATGAAGTGAGCAAACTATTTTTGTTATAGATCAATTCTGATTCTGAAAGTGTAACGATACTTTATTTCATAGTTCAATGTAATTATTTTAAAATGTATGGTTATTACCAGTTGTTTTTCACTTTTAAGCAAATTATTAAAGGGACAAAAATGGAAATGAAGATTTTTTTCAATATCAATTTGTTCATATGTATATATACTCTCTATCCATGTGCCATTTATATCTATTTTTCACATGAAAAATAATTTTTATTTAAGAAAACTTTTCAGTAAGAAATCTAGAAGTTGCATATGGACCTCACTTATATTCTTATCTTATGTGAAATTGCAGCAGCTTAAATGTTAAGAATATAATATACAGCTTTTTATTGCCTGCAGTGCTTTAAACAAGGAACACAGAATGCAATCAGTAAATATTGGTTATGTGAATGAATAAGTAAAACTGCTGAAGGAGTCAGAGTCTGTGTGAAATGACACTGGGCATGTAGTTAAATCATTTGGCACATGGATGACATAAAACTTGTATTAGAGGATTTGACTTCTTTTAGTTAAAATCCTTTGGAAAAAGAATGAAACTTTTCTTTCAGGCATATAGATTGTGCAGGAGTATATTAACCCAGGTATCAAATGCAGGAATTTAATTAATGGTATTGCAAAAGCCTTTCGGATTCATGGTTTATATTTCTTGGTTCCAATAAACAAAGGCTGCCTGGCCGGAGTGGCTCAGGTGGTTGAGTGTTGTCCTGTGCATCGAAAGGTTGCCAGTTTGATATCCTATCAGGGCACGTGCCTGGGTTGCGGGTTTGATCCCTAGTCTGGTTGGAGGTTGGGTCAGGGCACATAGGGAAGGCAACCAATTGATGTTTCTCTCTCACATCAATTTCTCTCTCTTCCTCTCTTCTCCCCTTCCTCTCTCTTAAGAATGTACTCAGGTGAAGATATAAAAAAACAAAAACAAAACAAAGACTGCCAAACACCCACTTCAATATAGTATTTTCTTCATGAACATAGTTCATGAGGATCTCTTACTTTGAAAGAGATCATCTGTATGAAACTTTCAGTTAACCAACCATATAGGGTTTATAAATCTTTTTCTTTTCTTTTTTTTTTTTTTTGGTAGCCTGGTTTATTTGGAGTTTATTAGACTTCTGTAGAGTCTACACTATTCTTTTTTAAAAACATATATTTATTGATTACAGAGAGGAAGGCAGAGGGAGAGAGATAGAAACATCAACGATGAGAGAGAATCATTGATCGGCTGCCTCCAGCATGCCCCACACTGGGGATTGGGCCCACAATCTGGGCATGTGCCCAGACCGGGAAACGATCCATGATCTCCTGGTTCATGGGTCAACGCTCAACCACTGAGCTACACTGGCTGGCCTACACTATTCTTAATGGCTGTTTATTTAAAGTATTGAGCTCTTAGAGAAAAAGAAGGGATCTGTATGAGCATTCACATTTGATTTAGGATTTTGCTAATAGAATGCTTAGTTTTAATTTTTTAAAAATATATTTTTTTATTATTTCAGAGAGGAAGGGAGAGGGAGAGAGAGAGAGAAACATCAGTGATAATAGAATCATTGATTGACTGCTTCCTGCATGCTTCACACTGGGGATCAAGCTCATAATCTAGGCATGTGCCCTGACTGGGAATTGAACCATGACTAGGTCAACGCTCAACCACTGAGCGACACTGGCTGTGCTCTTTCCAATTTTTAATGTATCACACAAGAATTGTGTGTGTGTGTGTGTGTGTGTGTGTGTGTGTGTGTGTGATAGAGAGAGAGACAGAGACAGAGACAGAGACAGAGACTGATTTGTTCCACCTATCGATTCATTCAGTGGTTGATTCCTGACCAGGGTTCGAACCTGCAACCTTGGCGTTTCAGGACAATGCTCTAACCAGCTGAGCTACCCAACCAGAGCTCAACTCGAATTTTTAATTGAAGTTTGTAAGAATAAATCACTTTTTAAATAATCTGCTTTAAGTGGAAGAGGATAAATTATCATATTTAAAGTTTATGCTATTGAATTTTTAACATTATGAAGAAATTTTCTTTTTAAATAGTTCAAAAGGAATTATACTTTCTTTTTTAACAATAAAGACTTCTTATTAGAGGTGTTTACATTATACAGATTAAATCTCATTATAAATTTCAAGAGACTCTTGGGGAGTGGGGGCGGCTGGGGAGAGGCCAGTGGGGGGAAAAGGAGACTTATTTAATACTTTAAACAATAAAGAGAGACTCTTAAACTTCAGGCATTCCTGGATCTTGACAACTTTTATTTTATTTTATTTTTATTTATTTATTTTTAAAATATATTTTATTGATTTTTTACAGAGAGGAAGGGAGAGAGAGAGAGAGTTAGAAACATCGATGGGAGAGAAACATCGATCAGCTGCCTCCTGCACATCTCCTGCTGGGGATGTGCCCGCAACCCAGGTACATGCCCTTGACCGGAATCGAACCTGGGACCTTTCAGTCCGCAGGCCGACGCTCTATCCACTGAGCCAAACCGGTTTTGGCTTGATAACTTTTATACATGAGCTCTGGCCAGTGTTCTCAGTGGTTAAAGCATTGGCCTGTGCATTGAGTGGTTGTGGGTTTGACTCCTGGTCAAGGGCCCGTACCTCAGTTGCAGGTTTGATCCCCCAGCCCTGGTTGGGGTGCATGCAGGACGCAACCAATCGATATGTCTCTTTCACATTGATGTTTTCTCTCTTTCTCCTTCCACACTCTCTCTAAAAACAGAAAAGTGATGGAAAAAATAATCCTGGTGAGGTTTAAAAAAAATTATTATACATGAGTATTATTCAATCTACTCACCATATGTGAGTTGTCTATAGGTATAAATGGGGAACCAGGAAGTACTGATATTAAGGTAGTTCAGTATTTCTTGGTACTGGATTTTTAAGTAATGACTTAAGAGTCAATGTCTGCTTCCCTATGTTAGAACATCTCGACATCTGTATGTCCTCAGAACTATATAGAGCTATATTTTACTGAGTGCCCTACACTAAAGGCTAAAGACCATAATGTTGTTAAGCATTGCAATTTTATGGGCCATCATTCCAAGGTTTTTTGGAACATTGGAATTTGTGGTTTGGGGGCGGGGGGGTTTGGAATTTGTTGAAGTAGCATTTGATCCATATTCAACATGTATGTCCTGAATTAGTAGGATGTACACATCCTGTCAAACCTGTCAAACACTCATTCTTTCTTGAAAAAAACATGCTACTAATGTAGTTTTTTTTTCCAGAAGCAATGTACATTTTCACAGTAGCAAATTATATTTGAATCCATAAAGTAAACCTTGGATGAAAACAAAACCTAACTATAAAACATAGACTGAACTTACATGAAATAATGATGATAGAATTCAGATACTTTGATTCTGGTGAAGCAGAACCAAGAACTAATGTATTTCTGAATCATGAGTAGTTGAAATTTACAAAGAACATTTTGCTAACCACTCTGCTGTACACCTGAAATTAATACAAAATAATATTGAATGTTAACTGTAATTGAAAAATAAAAATTTAAAAATAGTTTCTCAGGAATACAAAACAATATCTGACATTAGTTGAGAAGTGAGGAATTTTCTTTCCCTGAATATCTTGAAAATTGGGGAAATTTTAAGAATGTATATTGTATCCTGACTTGAGAGTTTTCTGGTAATATGCTTTGTTCCCAGGGTAGAAAAATCGTGCAAATTGTAATGTCATAAGTTATCTCTATCAGTAATTTAACAGAAAGCTCAGATGATCATTTTGCAAACTAATCTAGATTCTATTCTGTCTGATTGACAAGAGCTTAAAATGATGAAAATTGGTAGGAGGAAGTAGCTTTTGAGATTGTTTCATACACAAAGGGCAGCAGTATGCTTCAAAAAGGTACATTGCAAGGGTAGAGTTAGTCTTTATGAAACATATTCATGAAAGAATATGTTTCATCTTCTAAGATCTGCTTTTAAGACTTCCGTTCCCTGTAGTTATCAACTGCTTGTACCTACCTGGCCTTTAGAAATTAGTATGTTAAACTGAACCAGCTTATAGGAGTAACTATCTATAGGGCTTGTTTACCAAAGAAAAGTATTGCTTAGAATAGCAAAATTATAAGCCTGTCTAAGCATGTTGTAAAGCTGTTCAAAAGTAATTCAGATCAAGCTTTGAATTGGAAATGTAATTCTCAAGTTACAATCTGCTTTAAAAAGAAAAAGAAGAATATGGTTTTTTATAACCCCTTTTCAAAAAAAGTGGAGGAGGCTCCTACTGTGGTTACGATTCTCAGATCATTTTCAACCTTCTAATACTGTGATGGAATAGAAAAGGCTTACTATCTAACATGGTTTTATTTGTAGGAATGAATTAATATACTGCACTGTCTTTTCTGAGGACATGCATGGCACAAAATCCTTCACCTACTTAAATTAAATTAAATTGATATAGTTAAAATTTGGATCTCAAAACTGAGATTTCCAATCTATTCCAGAAAAGCCATCCTTTTCCCCCCACTGACTATAATTTGTTGATTATCATGAGAGATCTGCTTCACCTGCTTTTAATGATTCTGTAATAGTTGCTTGGACTTCTCCTTAGATTTTTTAGTTTGAGGTTTATTTATCCATCTTGGCAGGTCAGGTATGGTTGCCTTTTGCTTCCAAACCAATAGAATAAGTCAGTATACTTTTCACTAGTTTTGATTTCCAGCTTAGCTTTATTTCTTTTTCTGAGTTCTAAAATACTATTCCCTTTGTCCAAGTTCTCTCCACATCTTTAACAATACCGTAATGTTACATTGTTGAGCTTTCATTTGTTGTTTAAATCTTTGCTGGTTAAAATATAGAGTAGGTTTGATGATGCCATGAGTTGTAGTGAATTTTGCAAATTTAAGATGATTACTTTCTGCATTTTATTTCATCTCAGTAAAAGTCCAAATAGAATCTGGCCCATGTGGCTCAGTGTTTGAGTGTTGCCCCATGCACCAAGAGATTGCTGGTTCGATTCCCAGTCAGGGCATATGCCTGGGTTACAGGCTTGATTCCGGTGGGGGCATGCAGGAAGCAGCTGATTGATGTTTCCCTCTCATCAATGTTTCTATTCCACTCTCCCTCTCCCTTCTACTTTCTATAAAAATCAATTTAAAAATCTTTAAAAAAAACCACCTAAATAGAATCTTGGGAAGGATATTAAAGGAAGAGTTTGTTAAAGGACCTACAAATAATATTCAAAAATTGTTATTATTTCTTCATTTTTTAAAATATATTTTTATTGATTTTTAGATAGAAACATTGGTTGATTACCTCCCATACTCACCACAACCTGGGCATGTGTCCTGACCAGGAATTGGACCAGTGACCTTTCTTTTTTTAAAATTTATTTTAAAATATACTTTTATTTTTTTAAATATGTATATTTTTTTATTTCAGAGAGGAAGGGAGAGGGAGAGAGAGAATCATTGCCTCCTACATGTCCCCTACTGCGGATTGACCCCAAAACCCTGGCATGTGCCCTTGACCGGAATCAAATCTGGGACTCTTCAGTCCACAAGCCCACTCTCTATCCACTGTGCCAAACCAGCTAAGGGCCCAGGGACCTTTTTGTTGCACAGGAAGATACTCAACCAACTGAGCCACACCGGCCAGGGCTATTATTTCTTTAATATATTATAGGTTTCTTTTTGTAAAATCCAAGTCTTTTTAACTTTGATAAACTCCTTTTTCTGATTTTGTATTATGGATTTTTTCCTTTAAAAGTAAAATCTTTGTAATCTTTTAATAGCCAGACATTATAATCTTGATCGTTTTATTTGCATATCCTTTAAGTAATTGTGATCTTTTCTTCTCTTCTTTATTGTATAGTCCAAAAGAAACTCTGCCTTCAAAACCCGTAAAGAAAGAGAAGGAACAAAGGCCACGTCACTTACTCACGGACCTCCCTCTCCCTCCAGAACTCCCTGGTGGGGATCCATCTCCACCTGACTCTCCAGAACCAAAGGCAATCACACCACCTCAGCAACCATATAAAAAGAGACCAAAGTGAGTTTTTGTAGGGACCTACCTTAAGTACAGCTTTTATTACAGTGAAGAACTTTGGAGCTTAAATCTCACACTTTCTTCTACAACCCACACTAGTAGGATCATAAAAGATTGAGCCTAATGTATATCTATTATTTTATTTTAATGGATAAAAACCTACTACTTAGGAGATCCATTCATCTACATTCACAGATACGTAGCTGTTGTTATTTTTTTTAGAAAAGCAATAATTTCCCCAATCCAAATATATCACGAACATTGATCCCATTGTATCTTTTGAGTTCATAATATTTAGAGTATTGAAGGAAAAAAAAAAGCCCTTATACTCAGAGTGTGTAAGCCATGTACATATTAATGAAATTAATAGATATGGGATTTATTTTCTTTAATCACATAAATTGCCACACCATAAATGTAGTAGAATCTGGGTTTGATCTTCTGATTGTTAGCATTCCTCTCTTAAAAAAAAGTTACTTTTCTTGAGTACTTATTATTGCCAAAGTTTTCTATTTTTATTGTAACCCTATGATGTAGGGATTCTTTTCCCATTCTATAGGTGAATAAGCAAATACTTAATAGAGGTCAGAAACTAAGCAGCAAATCTACTTTATCTTGTGTCTTCCTGAAGTAAAAAAAAAAAATCTGTGTTTTAGCCATCGTGAGAGTCGGCTTAAACTATTTATTTCATATTATTTAATTCCTGTCTTTATAATAAAGAAATTCATAGAAGACTCGGGAGTTAGAGAAATCATAAAAGAATTTTTTTTTTTTAGTAGACTTAATTTTAAAAAACTTTTTGTTTTGCCATTTTTAGAATTTGTTGTCCTCGTTATGGAGAAAGAAGACAGACAGAAAGTGATTGGGGGAAACGCTGTGTGGACAAGTTTGACATTATTGGGATTATTGGAGAGGGAACCTATGGCCAAGTATATAAAGCCAAGGACAAAGACACAGGTAAATATTGCCACGAAATTTAGATGTCAGGTTAAAAAGTTAGCAATACTGATGTCTTAAGTGGACTTATCAAAAGTAAGTTTTGGGTTTTAATTTGGTCTCTAAAAGTTACTAAATAGACTAAAATTTTCCAAAAGAATAGTATAATTATTACAGTTTAAAAACCCTCCTCTTTTTCGTTGTCTTTTGTAAATGTTTTATAATAAGCTTGCTTGGAATTTAAGAGAGGGTAAAAATAAAATGTGTACATTGCTCTTTGTTTGATAAGGGGCTTAGTCCTTGAAGATAAAATAATGTAGTTGAATTATTGGTGTATTTTAATAACCAAAATGCTTAAGCCTGACTGATTATGGGATTTATAAAAATTCAAGTCTTAAAGAAATCAAAGATAAGAAAGGGAACTTAGGGACTTGTTTTTTAAGATATAAAAGCATTAAAATAGGCATTAAGTCAGTCTTTCAGAGCAAGGGCATATATTGACTAGATGGTAGCCAAAAAAATGCTAGTTGATACTATAATAATTTGAATTTATTGTGACAGGAGAGCTAGTGGCCCTGAAGAAGGTGAGACTAGACAATGAGAAAGAAGGCTTCCCAATCACAGCCATTCGTGAGATCAAAATCCTTCGGCAGCTAATCCACCGAAGTGTTGTTAACATGAAGGAAATTGTCACAGATAAACAAGATGCACTGGATTTCAAGAAGGACAAAGGTACAAGCAAAGAACTATGTACAGGGTAGATTAGTACATCTTATTTTTCTTTCTTAGCATATTGCCTGTTTGCATTGTTTATAGTTTTTACTAAACTCCAACTTTTTACTTGAACCTATACCAGAATTAAGATGTCAGTTAGCATATTGCTTTTGTGTTGAATAATGCTTATTTTATAAAATGTCCATTTTTCAGTGTACTCATATACTTTTAGAAATTATTGTTAATTATTAAAATTAGTGTTTCTGTACCACTTAAAGTCATTTTTTTTAAATTATAATAACAATTATGGAAAGTAAAATCCAGATTTATCAATTACTTTCATTTCTTAAAATTTTTAATTATTTTAATTATAGTTTACAAGCAATATTATATTGCTTTCAGGTGTACAACATAGTGATTAGACATTCATATCCCTTATGAAGTGATCACCACAAGTTTAGCAACTGTCTGTCACCATGCAGTTATTACATTACTAGTAGCCCTAAGCACCAATCAATGCGCCAGTAGCTTGCTGCCGCCCTCCTATAGCTCTCTGCCCACTGCCCCCCCCCCCCATAGCTTGCTGCCCTGCCCCCTCCTGTAGCTCTCTGCCGCCCGCTTGTAGCTCACTGCCCCACCCTCCTGCTGATCCGTGATCCAGTCGTTACGCGGTCCGTTGTTAGGTAACGACCATTTGCATATTACATCTTTATTATATAGGATAGGATTATTGGCTATATCCCCTATGCTGTACATTATATCCTGGTGACTAATTTTATAATTAGCAACTTATACTTAATTCCTTTCACCTTTTTTGCTTATATCCTAATGCCTCACCTATCTGGCAGCCATCAGTTTGTCCTCTGTATCTATGAGTTTGTTTCTTACTCTCATTTTTACATCATCCCTTCTGGTTATTGTTTATGTGCATCCATATTTTTACATAGTTTTTCACTGATACAGTTTAGAATTCAGTGCAGATATTTCTAAATCTTCATGTTTGTTTTCCTAGATTTTTAATTTTTGTCTATTTGGGCGATAAAATTGTTTTTTTTGTTCCCGTACTTATGTTTGAAGTAGTCTATATATGACATCTAATATACTTTTATTGAAATAAGTCTGAAGGTTTAGAGATGGGCAGCTGTGAAGACATGGCATGTGTGAATATAATCTAGAATGTTACAAGAGAATAAATATGATTGGGAAGAAAAGAATGTATAAACTTTGCCCTAGGTGGTTTGGCTCAGTGGATAGAGCGTTGGCCTGTGGACCAAAGGGTGCCAGGTTCGATTCCCGTCAAGGGCACATACCTTGGTTGCAGGCTCCTCCCTGAACCGGGCACTGAAATCAATAAAATATATTTAAAAAAATAAAAAAATAAAAAAAATAAAAGGGAATTCTGCTTATGTAATAGTATTTAGATAAATTTATGGAAGTTAGATCTGATACTGGGTTTATTTTGGGGAATAATACTCTGAATATTCCATGTTAGAGAGAGAGGAAGGGAGAGGTATAGAGAGATAGAAACATCAATGAGAGAGAAACATCATTGATTGGCTGTCCTCTGCACGCCCCCCACTGGGGATTGAGCCTGAAACTCGGGCATGTGCCTTGACCAGGAATTGAACTGGTATGGATAGACGCTCAACCACCAAACCACACAGGCTGGGCTAAATTAATTATATTTTAAATAATAAAATGATGTATGTGATGCATGCCCATTGTGGAAAAATTGAAAATATCTATAAAAGGCTAATATGCAAAGTGTTCCTCTGCTCGTTTGATGGGTCGCTATGACACACACTGACCATCGGGGCAGATGTTCAATGCAGGAGCTGCCGAGCTGCAGTGACTTGGCAGCAGCGGTTCTCAGGTGACACACCCGAAACCAGAGAGGAGGGAACCCGATTCCTTGTGGGGCTGTGTGATTTCACCTTTGGCCGTGGGTTATGTTATTGCTGGGGCACTATTGGCCCTGAATCTGGTTTACTACACGCTTGCATTTGTGTTCCACACCCTGTATGACAGCAACTTTGTAGAATGCCCTCTTGCACTCTGGGACCCCTTAAGGGATGTCTGAGAGCCGGGGGTTTTTTTGTTTTTTTTTTAAATATATTTTATTGATTTTTTTACAGAGAGGAAGGGAGAGAGATAGAGAGTTAGAAACATCTATGAGAGAGAAACATCGATCAACTGCCTCCTGCACATCTCCTACTGGGGATATGCCCGCAACCCAGGTACATGCCCTTGACCGGAATCGAACCTGGGACCTTTCAGTTCGCAGGCCGACGCTCTATCCACTGAGCCAAACCGGTTTCGGCGAGAGCCGGTTTTGACCCAATCCCTGCAGGCCAGGCAGAGGGACCCCGCTCACTCTGCAGATGCCCTTCAAGCCGCGGCGCCACCCCAGATGTGGCTGGCTGGGAAGAGACTGTGGGAGGTTGGCTCCAGGGCATGTCCGGCCCATCTCGCGCAGTCCCACCCCACTGGCCATTTTCTAATTAATTACCTTTCAACGTGCACGAATTCGTGCACCAGGACACTAGTAGAAGAATAAGAAAAAGAAAATAGCAATCACTTTTCTCTCACTCCAATCCAGTATACCATAGAACCACTCACTATAGTATTAGCATTTTGGCATATTTCTTTCTAGTACTTTATATTATATATATATTTATCTTAACATTACTGGGATCAAATATAGTTAGTGTTTTATAGCTTGTCATAAGCAATTTCTCATATCATTAACATGGGTTTTTTTTGTTTTTTTTTAAAATATATTTTATTGATTTTTTACAGAGAGGAAGGGAGAGAGAGAGTTAGAAACATCAATGAGAGAGAAACATCGATCAGCTGCCTCCTGCACATCTCCCACTGGGGATATGCCTGCAACCCAGGTACATGCCCCTGACCGGAATTGAACCTGGGACCTTTCAGTCCGCAGGCCGACGCTCTATCCACTGAGCCAAACCGGTTTCGGCCATTAACATGTTTTAATGACTGCATAAAGGTAGATGAATCCAAATTTACTTCATCAGTCACTGTTGAGCAATTAATTGCCAGTTTAAAAATATATATTATAACAGTGTATTGAACATCTTTGTACATAAATCTTTACATTTAGATTTATTTCTTAATATAGTTTCTGAGACGTAGAATTATTTGGTCAAAGGGATTTTCATATTTATTGTTAGATTGCTTTTAAGAAAGAGAGTAATAATTTATGTCCCACCAGTGAGTGTCCATTCCATTTTATCTTCCCTAACATTGAGTACATATTTTTAAAAAATGGTCATCTTGATAGGTGAAGTATATTGTTTTGAATTGCATTTCTTATATTTCATCTGAGTTTTTTCCATGTTTATTAGTTTTACATATTTTCTCTTTTTGAGTTGTCCTTTGTCTCCTTATCTTTTACAGTTTTGTGCTTTTCTTATTAATTTGTATGAGGTGGTAGCTAAATCTCTCTAAGACATTCCTTTAATGTAGTGGTTCTTAACTTTTTGGGGTCATGACCTCTTTAAACATGGATCCATTTTTCAAAAAAATATGTTTACTATGTTGCATACATATATCTTTAAAATGTTGCATACTGTTTCAGAGAGTTCGAAGAGTCCTTCAAGCCTACCCCCTAGATTCTGAATCCTTGCCTTTATGTTACCAGGAGACAGACGTTTAGACCGGATAAATCATTTTCTAACTAGGTCTAGTATTTCTTATGTTTGGTATTTGTCTCTATTATGAACCCTGTTGAAAGTGGCATTATGGTATGGATTTCAAATCTTTTACAGTTCTCTAAAAGTACTTTTTATATCTGCTTCTAAATTTAGGGAGTTTAAATAGATGATTCATCTTTCTTTCGTTACTAAATACTATGAAATTTACTAACAATTTATACTAAATAGACTGTGCTTCCCCCCCTCCCCTCCAGCATATTATGTGAGTCCTATTAATGAATATAAAGATTTCTACAAAAGTAGTCATAGGCAGTATGTAACAAAATGGGCATGGTTGTGTGTTACAAATAAAACTGTATTTACAACAGACAAGCAGACTGGATTTGCCCAAGGTCTATCATTAGCCAGTTGACTTAGATCATAAAAGACTCGTAATAATGCAACATGATTGGGGCAGTTATCCTCCTCAAGGCATAGTAGTCTAAAGAGTTCTGGACTAGGAGTCAGAAGATTAATTCAAATAGTTTTGCTACTTGTTATTAGAAAGGGCAAGTTATTCAACTACTCTGAATTTCAGTTTCTTCATCTATAAAATTAAGCAATTGTTCCAGAGGGCCTTATGGTCAACTCCAAAATTATGTTAAAATTTGAAGCATTGTAATTTAATAATCCTTTTTCTATTGTTTTTAATTTTTCTTTTATCCTATGTAGGTGCCTTTTATCTTGTATTTGAGTATATGGACCATGACTTAATGGGACTGCTAGAATCTGGTTTGGTGCACTTTTCTGAGGATCATATCAAGTCATTCATGAAACAACTAATGGAAGGATTGGATTACTGTCACAAAAAGAATTTCCTGCATCGGGATATTAAATGTTCTAACATTTTGCTGAACAACAGGTAATATAGTAAAACTAAATGAGGTTAAGCATTTTTTCCCTTCTGAGCCCCTTAGTTTCAATTAGTTGGGGTTATAGGTAGAGCCAGTCATACAGTTTTTTGCGTTTACATACACATCTGGTGTTTGTACCTTAGGAACAACTTATAATAGGGGTATCCTGATCTGCAGTCTCCAGACTCAGTGTTGATAAGGAATTAACAGAGGTAGGATTGTAACTTGCAAACATTTAAGGGAATCAAATCATATCCTACAGGACTATTCAGAGAGTTTTTGCCATAGTTAGTAAATAATATTCAAACATACATTGAGTTCTTTCTTTTTTTAATTTAAAAAAATATTTTTTAATTGACTTTAGAGAGGAAGGGAATGGAGGAGGAGATAGAAATCAATTAAGAGAGAGAATCATTGATTGGCTGCCTCCTGCATGCCACCTCCTGGAGATCGAGCCAGCAATCCGGGCATGTGCCCTGACTGGGAATCTAACCATTACTTACTGGTTCATAGGTTGATGAACTGAGCCACTCTGGCTGGTCTCTTCAGAAGTTTTTATCATCTACTTTCTTCCTCTCTGACTGTTTGCCTAAATTCCATTGGTAATATCAGATGTGTTATGCACAGTTGTCATTGGTGATAGTCCTATCTATTGAGGAATAAAAAGCAAGTTTGACACTATTAAAATCAGGCCAGTATTTGTTTCTTTAGGAAATTGGGCTGTTTACAGCCACCTTTGTCTGATTCACTCATTGTTTTTTTGTTTGTTTTTTAAAAATATTTTTATTTCAGAGAGGAATGGAGAGGGAGAGAAAGATGGAAACATCAATGATGAGAGAGAATCATTGATCTGCTGTCTCCTGCACACGCCATACTGGAGTTCAAGCCCACAGCCTGGGCATGTGCCCTGACTGGGAATTGGACCCGTGGCCTTCAGGTTCATAGGTCTATGCTCAACCACTGAGCCACACTGGTCGGGCAGATTCACTCATTGTTTTCAACATTTCTGTTTAAAAATTGGACAAACATAAATAACAATATGAAATGATTCTGACATATTTTTTGGTCTTTGTGGAGTGGGGTGACCAACCATGCAGGGTTACCCAGGACTGTTCTGGTTTCTGTGCTGAAAGTCCTACATCGGGTGGTTGGTTGGTCACTGGAGAGCTCCACGTTTAGTAGGGGAGCTAAACAAATAAATTGCTCAATTCAATAAACTTTTTATTAAGCCATTTTATTCCTTGAATTTGGGAGCGCCTGGGGAGATGCAGTATAGAGGAATGAATAGGAATTTATCAGGGAGACTGGCAACAGAGGGCCGAGTTTCTAGGCAAAATAAATTGCATTGACAAAAGCACATAAATGTGAAAATAACATAGCATGTCTGGAAAATGAAAAAATCAGTATTGCTAGGGTAAAGCTGGACAGTTGCAAGAACCAATTTAAGGATCTAGTATAAGTCGCTAAGGAGGTTAAACTTCATAAGTGACAGCCACTGAAGGATGTTGGTTCAGTTAATTCTTTGTTTTTAAATTATAAAACTAATGCATTATTTTAAGTTAAAAAATATATAAACTGCATATATTTGTACTTAAATATCTTTTTGAGACAAAACATGGTGTTGAGATTTATTTCTTTCTGTTGCTATCTCTATGACCCAGAATTCTCATTAAAGCTGGGCGTAGTTAATTTACATCTATAGTCGTAATGTTTCAAGAACTTGATGGTTATCGGCTTGCAGCTTTCTGTACTATAGTGTTATCATACTTTCTTCTGTTCCTTTTGCTCCTCCATGGGGGATGTTTCAGGCAAGGGAATAACTACAATCCTGCTCGGTGTCTTTTCTGGTTGGTGGGTCAGGCCCCTCCGTGTTCCTGATTTCCCACAATCAGGAAATTCAGGAAGCTAGGTGGGATGTAGGAGTCACATAGTCTAGCTATATGTAGCTTTTGCTCTTCCCATTTAATTCTGTCTACACAGAGACTTCTGGGTGATAGTACCTGGAGAGAATGGTAAGGAGACCTCAGCTGGAGAAGAAAAAGAAAGCAGTTGATAAGAGAGGGAGGAGAGCAGGGGTAGTAAGTCATGTGGGAGTTCCAAGCTAGCAGTATACATGGATTCAGGAATTATCAAGCATAGAAAAAATGTCAGAAGATAGAACTCAAGGGAATGGGTAGAGAAAGAGGAAGAAAATAAAGTATATCATGAATGCAAAATAGGCAAGTTTAAGAAGTGAGTGGCCATAGATGTCCAATGATGTAGACAGATTATAAGACTTACAAGAATTTGAAAATTAAAAGGTCAGTGGTGACTGTGGGGTAAGTGGATGGGTAAGACAATTAATAGGAAGGTGATGGTAGATGTGTCTTTAATTTTATATTTAAGGATACAGAGGTTTGAGTATATTTAAATGCTAATGGAATAGAAAATCAATAAAAGTTGAAGATTCAGGAAAGATTCAGAACAATTTAAAGGAGGGAGGGTCTAGAGGAGTTGGGATCAAAGCCACAGGTGGTAGTAGCCACAAATGTAGGTGTTGATTAGCCTTGAACAGGCGAAGAGATTGCCAAACTTGTTCTGTAGTTAAAGGAAGGGGAAGAAGGTTATAGGTGCAAAAAGTTTATAGGTAACATGATGGCTTCTGTTTTCAATGCAGGTCATTTACTGAGAGTAGTGGGAAGGGGTGGATTAGGTGCTGGTGATATTTAGGTCTGACCTATTTTTCCATAACTATGTCAATTGCCATTTTAACTTTTATTCTACTATGTGCCTTGAGTCGTGGACCATCTCAGGCTCTCAGAGTAAGATGCCAAGAAATTTGAGGAACCCTTTTTGTCCCATTATAAAACTCATGTCAGCTATTCCCTTCCTTTTTGCTTTTCTCAGAATTTGGTTATAAATTGACCTTTAAAATGTAATGATGTTTGGAGCAAGTATGTAAGATGCCCATAATCTTTACTAGAAATGATTAGAGTTGATTTAATGTAAAATTTTGTTGTTACAGGCATACTTTGGAGATTTTGCTAGTTTGGTACCAGATCACCACAATAAAGCAAATATCACAGTAAAGTGAATCATACAAATTTTTTAGTTTCCCAGTGCATATAAAAGTTATGTTTACACTATAGTCTGTTGAGAGTACAACAGCATTATGTCAAAAAAATGTACATAACTGAATTTTAAAAATACTTTGTTGCTAAAAAATGCTAACCATCAATTGAGCCTTTAGTGAGTCCTAATTTTTTTGCTGATGGAAAGTCTAAGCCCACAGTACTTACATATAACTGTGAACTTGCTAGAAATTCTAATTTTGGGGCTATGACCTACTGAATCAGCTTCTCTGGCAGTAGGGCTCAGGATACTTTTAATAAGCTTTCCAAGTGATTTTTATTTCATATTACAGTTTGAAAAACCCTCTAAGGTCATAGTTGTATATCATTACTAGAGGCCGGTGCACGAAATTCATGCACAGGTAGGATCCCTAGGCCTGGCTGGTGATCAGGACTGATTGGGGCCTTCTGGCTGCTGACTGGGGCCTTCCTTCGTTCCCTGCTGTACCCTCGTGGTCAGCGCACATCATAGCAAGTGATCGAACTCCCAGTCTCTCGGTCGAACTCCTGAGGGGACACTTTGCATATTAGCCTTTTATATATATAGATGTTCTAGGACAGGGGTCCTCAAACTTTTTAAACAAGGGGCCAGTTCACTGTCCCTCAGACTGTTGGAGGGCCAGACTATAGTTTAAAAAAAACTATGAACAAATTCCTATGCACACAGTGGCGGCAAAAACACCCGGTGGGCCGGATAAATGTTTTCAGCGGGCCGCATGTGGCCCGCGGGCCGTAGTTTGAGGACCCCTGTTGTAGGAAGTGATGTTAATATGTTGATAGAAGGCCTCATTCATCATAAAAATTGTTAGCTCAGATCAAAGCTATTGTCCCTGTTTGAAAAAAATCTGTGATAGCCACAGTGTTTACTTTTTATTATGAGAAAAAGTCAAATTACAAGAAAAAGTTGAGACTAATATAATTAATTACATATACAATTAACATTTTATTATAGTTGCTTTTATTTTTCTGCTTGAGTTATTTATTTTGTTTTAAAATATATTTTTATTGATTTTAGAGACGAAGGGAGAGGGAGAGAGAGAGAGAAACATCAATGATGAGAGAGAATCATTGGTCGGCTGCCTCCTGCACATGCCCCACAGTGGGGGTCGAGCCCCAAAACCCAGGCATGCACCCTGACTGGGAATTGAACCCTGACCTCCTGGTTCATAGGTCGATGCTCAACCACTGAGCCATGCAGGCTGGGCTCTGTTTGAGTTATTTTAATTACAGACATCATTACATTTGACCCCAAATACAAAATTAATTATTACCTACTAGAGGCCCGTTGCACGAATTTGTGCACGGGTGGGGTCCCTGGACCTGGCTGGCTATCGGGGCCAATCAGGGCCGACCAGCGGGCGGGGTGGGGGGAACCATGGGAGGTTGGGGGTGGGAGTGCACTGACCACGAGGGGGCAGCTTCTGTGTTGAGCATCTGCCCCCTGATGTTCAGTGCGCATCATAGCTACCAGCCGTTCATTCAGTTGTGTCGTCATAACGGTCATAACGGTCACTTAGGCTTTTTTATATATATAGATTATTTTCTAACACTCAATCCATACATTTTTTCAGTTATGTCAAAAATATCTTTTGTATACTTAGTTTGGATTTTGAGTTGGATTTAATTGTTAGGCCTCTTAATTCTCTCTTAATCTAGAACAGCCATTTCTCCCCCCTGTAATAAGTATTTAATCATGAGGGTCTAGCCACTGTTTGCCAAGACATGAAGGAAATATTTAGTTGAGTCAAATCCAAAAATTAGTAGTTTTCCCCCCAAAAAAGCCCTAAGGCTTAGTAACCCTAAGGTTACTGGAGTAATCAAGAGAGACTTAACCTGGGAAAGAAGGTTAAAAGCAGAGATTAAAATCAATTTTTGTAAATCCTCTAACTCCTAAATTAACAGTTAACTTTTTAGGTATAATTTGGAGATTATTGCTGTTCGTTATGAAAATAATTGATTTTGTTTTACAGTGGGCAAATCAAGCTAGCAGATTTTGGACTTGCTCGGCTCTATAACTCTGAAGAGAGGTGAGACATTTATCAAAATTACATGTGGGAAATAATGCTTTTTATTCTTGGATATTCTAGTATCCTACAAGTTGCAGTAATTTTCTAAATGTATTACTACCTAGGTTATAGAAAGTAAATTCTATCTTAAGTTCTTGGATCAGCCTTAAACTAAAATAAATCAACCCAACTTCTACTTCTGAACTATTAGGTTGCTGTGGAGTTGTTTTGATAGTCCCAACTTCAATTGGCAGCTATTTCTATTTGCATTTAATTGTTTAAGTATTTTATATCAGAAGCTATTGTAAATTTATGTCATGATTGTTTTTTACATTTCAGTCGCCCTTATACAAACAAAGTCATTACTCTGTGGTACCGACCTCCAGAACTTCTGCTGGGGGAGGAGCGTTACACACCAGCCATAGATGTTTGGAGCTGTGGGTAAGGATCCCTTTACTTTTTCTTTTCTTTGTAACTCACGTATTGTTGAACTTGTATCTTGTTCTCTCTCTACATTGATTTTTGTAGCTTTTTTTTTTTTTTTTTTTTTTTTTTAGTTTAAAAGGATGGGGATAAACTTTTAGCCAAATTTCGGAGAAATCTGTTGTTGAATATTTCTTAATATCAGAGCTACTTTTCATTTATTTATTTATTTTATTTTATTTTTTTGTACTGCCCTCACTAGTCGTTCATTGGACAGTAGCGCAAAAAAGATGGTTGGCTCAGAGATACTTTTTAAACATTTCAATTGTCTTTTTATTTCTTTTAACTTAGTTTGAATTGGGATCCATATACAGTCAAATCAGATTCATAGATTGCAATTGCTTATCTCAAGTCTTTTAATTATAGATTCTCCCTCTATCTATCTTGAGTCCCCTTATCTCCTTGACAATTTCCTTAGAAGAAACTGGGTCACTTATTCTGTACAGTTTCCCACAGTCTGGATTTTACTGATTGCATTCTTGTGTTGTTGTTTGTTTGTTTTTGACATGGTTCTCTATTCCTTTCATTTTCTGTATATTGTAGTAAATTTAGGTTTGATTCCCAATCACCCACTGACCTTGAAACTACTTTACAGGTGGTTTTGACAGATTATCAAAATGGTACATGAGAGTTGCAGTGGGGGGAGAGGGGGCAGTGAGAGCCTCTGCCCAGAGGACAGGCAGTAACTACGTTATCTGTAAAAATTTGAAAACAGCAAAATAATCCACTACAGATTAGTCTGCCCTTTTTTAAAAAAAAAACAATTTTTTTTAATTGATTTCAGAGAGGAAGGGAGAGGGAGAGAGATAGACATGTCAATGATGAGAGAGGATCATTGATTGGCTTTCTCCTGCACGCCCCCTACTGTGGATTGAGCCTGCAACCTGGGCATGTGCCCTTGACTGGAATTGAACCTGGGACCCTTCAGCCTGCAGGCCGATGCTCTATCCACTTAGCCAAACCAGCTAGGGCTAGTCTCCTTTTTATTATCACCTTATATAGGCAATTCTGGTAAAATATTTATTCCTACTAGGGTAGATTTACACACATATATACACCACTTTACATAACATATAATTTTCTCTTTTTGAAATGTTATCAGCTGTTAATGATCCACATCCATTAATTCATTTGTGGTTGTTTTGTGATGGTGATATTCTAATTATATCATTCCTTTCTGGAATAAAGATAACATATCTATTTGGCTAACCTTAGGTACAAATGATATGGAAAAGGTAGGGATAAAGGTTTAATTCTTTTATTTACCATTTTCAAGATAAAGAGGTGGTTTTTCTAGCATTCTCTAAAGATAACCAAAGAGAAGGCTTGAGGGCTTGTTTTTTAGTTTCATTACGAACTCATGGGATTAAACATATTTGATATGTGTTAATCCATTATAGTTATCATCCTTATTCCTGTTCAAACTGTCCAGTCTTTAGAGAGTTTATTCAGGTTAATTCTTGAGTCTTTTTGATACATTCATAGTAGTCTAGCCTTCCTTGTTTTCTGGTCCCAGGCTCATCCTATTGATTCCTTCCCCAGACCTTGTATCAGCCATTTCTCTAAAGAGTCTTAGTTCCTTTTCATTGAAAATAATATTTACAGTTTGTTTCTGAGAGGAATAGACATTTTACATGGCCCATGTTCATTAATTGTTTCTTATGCTGTATGATTTATGCATACATACCACTGTCCTTGACCTGAATGCTTTAGGATTTTGACATACATATACTTACAGTGGACCATAACACTTTTCCCCATTTTTTCCTTTTATTTCATTCTTTAAAAGGAGCATTGCAAGGGTTTTATTTCAAAATTCAAAAGGGTGAGGGAGAAAGAGAATATAATTTCTGTGGTAGCTTACTCAGATCAAATGAAGCTTTAGTTAAATAAACTGATTCAAGCTGGATGTGTCTGTGTTCTAGACTATTTGCTTTAACAGTATTAGCATTTAAATTGTCACAACTAGACTCTAAAGGTAACGTCCCATTCCATTAAGATGCAGGTTGCGGGGGGGGGGGGGGGGGCGGACACAGTTCATAGCTCTTTTGGTACTATTATTTTAGTCTCTGCAACCTGCCATGTTAGTGCAGTAGCAAAGTGTTGGATACATAGTGATGTTTTCCCCACCAAAGAACTGGAAACTGAAATTTAAAAAGCCACAGAAACAAAATTTGAAATTAAAATTATAGAAAATTAGACTTTCTTTAAAGCCCAGTGACTCATTGAACTGAGATTTTATTTGACTTTTGATGTGCGCTTACTACTTTGGTGATCCATGGTAGTCTTCTCTGAAGATACTTTTGTAGAATGCTCTTTTCAGAGACTCGCTAGAGCAGTTCAATTTGAAATTCTGGGGAGAAACTAGAAAGACTAGTACAACAAATTATACCTAGAGTCTAAAAACACAGCTGGGTTTGTTTGTTTGTTTTTTCCTTCAGCCTTTTTTATCAGTTGTGACAGCACTGTATTTGGAATTTGATTTGGCAATTAATGTTAGAAACAGAATTAAATTTTATTTTACTTTTTTATCTCTTGATAAGGTTCGTAAGAATTTGTCATTTGAGGTTAACAAATACAAATAGAAAGGTACTAATAACTTTAAGAGCTAGGTTTGTTTTGCCTTCTCAAATTTAATCAAGCCAGATAATTTTAAAGTGAAACTATGTAAACATTGGTTTTGTGAGTATTTTTGAATAAATCTCATTTCAACGCACATACTAGAGAAAAGATTCTTTTTTAAAATATGTATTTATTGATTCAGAGAGAGGAAGGGAGAGGGAAACATGGATCAGCTGCCTCCTGCATGCACCCTACTGGGAATTGAGCCCTGGGCATGTGCCTTGACCGGGAATTGAAACTGCGACCTTTTGATACATGGTTGCTCAACCAACTGACCCACCTGGCCAGGGCTCCCACTTTTTAAAAAATGAAGTATTTCACACATACAAAAAAATATAAAGTATTTATATAAATTTTTCCATTTGTTTTTAAGTTTATTTTGAAATAATTTCAAATGTACAGAAAAGTTACTAGAACAGTACAAAGAACTTTACTATAGCCTTTATTTAGATTTGTTAAAATTTTTTCACCTTTTAATTGAAGTGTATAATAAAATGTATATATTTAAATTAGACATATTGTATACCAGTGAAACCATCAAAAGTTTATATCACCTCCAAAAGTTTCCATGTAATCTCTCTCCTGTCCCCACCATCCCATTCCTAGGCAATCACTGTTCTGCTTTCTATCACTATTGATTGATTTCCATTTCTAGAATTTTATACAAATGGAATCATACAGTGTATGCTCTTTTTTCCTCTTGCATCTTTTACTCAGCATAATTATATTGAGATTCATTCATATTAGAGTCACTAATTTTTAATATCTTGCCACATTTGCATGTATGATGTACATACATATATATAATATGTACATAGAATAAAATGTGTTTATAAATATACTGCATTTTTTTTCCAGAACTATTTGAAAATAGTTGTATATATCATGCTCCTTTCCCTCTTAATATTTAATGTACATTTCCTAAGAACAAAGATTTTCTCTTAAACTAGAGGCCCAGTACACAAAAATTCGTGCACTCGGGAAGGGGGTGGTCTCTCATCCTGGCCTGCGCCCTCTCGCACTCCGGGACCCCTTGGGGGATGTCCACCTGCCCGCTTAGGCCTGCTCCCGGGGGATCAGGGCCTATTTGGCAGTCAGACATCCCTCTGGCAGCCCAGGAACCCTCGGGGGATGTCTGACTAACAGCTTAGGCCCGCTCCCCACCATTAGTTGGACTTCCTTAGCACAGCCGCGGAGGCAGGAGAGGCTCCCGCCGCCACCACTGCGCTGGCCAGCCATGAGCCAGCTGCTGGCTGAGAGGCACTCCCCTTGTGGAAGTGCACTGACCACCAGGGGGCAGCTCCTGCATTGAGCATCTGCCCCCTGGTGGTCAGTGCTCATCATAGCGACTGGTCGTTCCTGGTCATTCTGCCATTGGGGTCAATTTGCATCTAACCCTTTTATTATATAGCAGTGGTTCTCAACCTTCCTAATGCCACGACTCTAATACAGTTCCTCATGTTGTGGTGACCCACAACCATAAAATTATTTTTGTTGCTACTTCATAACTGTAATTTTGCTACTGTTATGAATTGTAATGTAAATATCTGATATGCAGGATGTATTTTCATTGTTACAAATTGAACATAATTAAAGCATAGTGATTAATCACAAAAACAATATGCAATTATATATGTGTTTTCCGATGGTCTTAGTGACCCCTGTGAAAGGGTCATTCGACCCCCCAAAGGGGTCACGACCCACAGGTTGAGAACCGCTGTTATATAGGATAATCACAGTACAATTATCAAATTCAGAGAATTTAACATTGTTAGATACACTATATTTAATAGAGTGCTTTAGCTTACATTTCATATCCTCATTTTGTCAACAATGTTCTGGAAACAATACCTTACCTGATAAGAGGATCCAATCCAGTATCATGCATTACATTTAGTTGCCATTATTTAATCTGGAACAATTCTTTAATATTTCTTTGTCCTTCATGACATTTACATTTTTTAAGAATACAAGACTAGTTACTCAATAGGTTCAGGTTATGAATTTTTGGCAGGAATACTCCATACGTGTTCTTTTCAAGTATCACATTTGTTTGCTTCTTATTAGTGATGTTAATTTTGGTCACATCCTCTAATTCCTAACACTTTTCAGTTATTTTACTAAATGATTTTATGCTCCTTATGTCCAAGTAAGTTTCTCTTCACTCAATCAGATTTACCATATATTTTGTCATGTGCTCTATATGTAAAGAAGTTGTATTCCACCTACTCTTTAGGTCTTACTTTGCATGTTTTTTATTCTTCATGTAAAAGCATGCCATTTTCAGGATAGTTATTTCATTCTTAGGTTAATTAAGATCAAATTTATTTAGCACACATTTTATTGAATCATTTGGTTAAGGTGTTGTCTGCCTTCCACCACAAAATAGCTACTAGTTTTCATGTTGTAATAAATAATAATTTTTATTATGTTTAATTTTTCTAGTTATTAGTAATAAATATTTATTATATATTATACATAATATACTTATATATAATATATCTATATATAATATATATTATATAAATAAAAAGTAATTTTTGGAGAGAGATCTGGAGATTGTAAATATGTCAATCTAGTTTTGAAAGGCTTTTTCAAAATGATAAAGGTATTTAAGCATATTGTATCTAAGAGTCTTATTGAAACTGATCTTGGCTTATGACAATAACCTTTTTTTAAAAAAAAACAAAACAAATAGTGCTAAGAGGACTATGGTACAGGGCACTGGTCACCAACCTTTCGGACCTCACAGACCACCAGTGGTCCATGGACCACCGGTTGGCAACCGCTGGTATAGGGCACATTGCATAGAACAGATAAATGAACAACGCTAATACATATTCTCTTTATAGGAACTGCTGGGCATCCTTGTAAAATTGAAGTGTGGGGTTTTTAGTCTTATTTTTCTTAATTTACAATGGAAGTGTTATAAAGGGACTCTTTTTTTTTTTTTTTTAAGGAAAGGACTCGACTCCCTTTTTCTGCTAATATATAGGCTGTCCTTTATAGGTGGCAAGGGTTTTTTTTACCTGCTGGTAAATTTAAATCCTTTATACTGTCTAGTTTTAGTGCAAGAAATACTTTCTTTTATGCAACTCAGACACTGCAGTGTAGGGCTAATTTACAACCTGGTATATATACCATAAAAGTTTATTGAGACACACTATAAATAGCTTCTAGGGATTTCTCTTCTGACCTCTCAGTTTTACTCTTTCTAGATGCATCCTTGGGGAACTGTTCACAAAGAAGCCTATTTTTCAAGCTAATCTGGAGCTGGCGCAGCTAGAACTGATCAGGTACAGCTGTGCATGTGCTCTGAGTGTCCAGGTGTGATAGGTGATCACATCCTCTAATTCCTAACACTTTTCAGTTATTTTACTAAATGATTTTATGCTCCTTATGTCCAAGTAAGTTTCTCTTCCCTCAGTCAGATTTACCATATATTTTGTCATGTGCTCTATATGTAAAGAAGTTGTATTCCACCTACTCTTTTTTTTTTTTTTTAATATTTTATTGATTTTTTACCACCTACTCTTTAGGTCTTACTTTGCATGTTTTTTATTCTTCATGTAAAAGCATGCCATTTTCAGGATAGTTATTTCATTCTTAGGTTAATTAAGATCAAATTTATTTAGCACACATTTTATTGAATCTGTTTTGTAATAATTTCCTTTCTCTGTTAAACTTTAGGATTCAGAGATAAATAAGATAGGTCCCTGCCTTCAAAAAGCTCAGAGTTTAATAAGTGATAAAACATGTAAACAGATAATTATGAAATAGAACCTGTAATAGAGGGTTTCAGGAAGACCTGGGATTGGGATAGAATTTGGATTGTTTTATTCAATAAAATTAAAGGAAAGAATATAGCAGGCTAATGTAAACTTTTTAAAAGGTGGCATATAACTTATTATTTGTTATGAAGTAAACTCAATTTTCCATTAAAATGTTCAGTCTTGGGCTCTCTTCTGCCAGTTTTTCTTATATGGACATTTTAGGACCAGCTCAGCCCTTTGTAATTAACACTAACTGAACTGGACAAAATTGATACTGAAAACCTCTGTGGAGGATTAAAAACATGTTTATGAAACCAAATATGTTGTGGATTATTTTAGATCCGCCGTGGGCAAACTGCGGCCCGTTTGAAATGAATAAAACTATTGAAAAAAAAAGACCGTACCCTTTTATGTAATGATGTTTACTTTGAATTTATATTAGTTCACACAAACACTCCATCCATGCTTTTGTTCCGGCCCTCCGGTCCAGTTTAAGAACCCATTGTGGCCCTCGAGTCAAAAAGTTTGCCCATCCCTGCTTTAGATAGTTGTACCAGTATTTTCTCTTCATTATCTTGTAACCAATTCTTTCTGTCCTATTCCTTTTGTCCTTAAAGCAGTAAGGCCAGGTTTTTCTTTCTGCATGCCCTCTAATTTAATAAGCTCTTGGGAGGTAATCGTTTCTGCTTCTAGAATCTCCAGAATTCATGATGCTGACGCACTTACTTCCTTGTTCTTGCTTTCTGCTTTGTTTTCAGTCGACTCTGTGGTAGCCCTTGTCCAGCTGTGTGGCCTGATGTTATCAAGCTGCCTTACTTCAATACCATGAAACCGAAGAAGCAATATAGAAGGCGTCTACGAGAAGAATTCTCTTTGTGAGTTTGGCAAAAATGTGCATCTGTTTTCTATGTTTGATTGGTGTTTGGTTTGGACTTGCTTTTTCCTGGCCTAGGAAGTTAGTGTTGTCCCAATTTATTATGGCAACACATCATAAGAAAGCATTTTATTTTTAACGAAGTTCTGTCACTGCCTTTTGGTAATTTTCTCTTTTGAAGGCTTTTCAGCGGTTCTCAACCTGTGGGTTGTGATGCCTTTGGAGGTCTAACGACCCTTTCACAGGGGTCGCCTAAGACCATCAGAAAACACATATCTAATTACATATTGTTTTGTGATTAATCACTATGCTTTAATTAGGTTCAATTTGTAACAATGAAATTGGAGATCACCACAACATGAGGAACTGTATTAAAGGGTTGCAGCATTAGGAAGGTTGAGGCCCACTGCTTTAGATGATAGAAAACCATTTTATTTTGAACATTATATATATTTTTTCAGTCTTTTTGATCTTACCAAGACAAAAAGAGAATGTAATTGCTGGCTTCATGTTTTCTAGCCTGTTATAGTACTTAAATCCTGTGTGGAGCCCTAGCCGGTTTGGCTCAGTGGATAAAGCGTCGACCTGCGGACTGAAGGGTCCCAGGTTCGATTCCAGTCAAGGGCACATGCTTGATCCCCATTGTAGGGCCTGTAGAAGGCAGCTACATCATTGATGTTTCGTTGATGTTTCTATCTCTCTCTCCCTCTCCCTTCCTCTCTCTCCTCCCTTTCTCTCTGAAATCAATAAAAATATGTAAAAAAAAAAAAAAAAAATCCTGTGTGGAAGAAAACCTGCTTGCTTGTCTAGCCTCCTTCCAACTCCCTTTCCACAGTTTTATGTGAAACTGGAAATTCAGAGCCTTTGACACAAGGTTATAGGCTCAAGAATTATGTGGTTGTTGTGAACTTGTCCTTTCTCTCTTCCTTCCCACAGCATTCCTTCAGCAGCACTTGATTTACTGGACCACATGCTGACACTAGATCCTAGCAAACGTTGCACAGCTGAGCAGACCCTACAGAGTGACTTCCTTAAAGATGTCGACCCCAGCAAAATGGATCCTCCAGAGTAAGTGCTGATGGATCCTCCATGTAGTGACCTTAAACCTCCTTCCCAACCCTAGGAGATGAGAAACTCAAAGTAATAGACATTTAAGAGGAACTGCAAATGGTCCTATGCCAAATGGAGCGGTATCCTCAAATAGGGTTATGACTGATAAGAGCTTTTATTGCTCTATGTTGTGTGTTTTTTTAAAAACAAGGCATAGATTTAGATATATTTATTCTAATTTGACTCAAGCTATCTTGTGTTCCTGGATCCCAGCATATTTTCATATAGAGCCTCTTTGAACATATTTCTTCCTAGTTTTTGCTATTAACTATTCCATCTGCTTGAATCCCCTATGTCTATGGTGACCATGTATATTCCACACTTACAAGGACAGTGCTAATTTTAAGTTTGCATCACTGTCAGGTCAGATGTCCTGAGTTTAGAAAATGCGGTCTTTGAAGGTGTCTCTCTTTCATTAGACTTTTTTTTTTTTAAATATATTTTATTGATTTTTTACAGAGAGGAAGGGAGAGAGATAGAGAGCTAGAAACATCGATGAGAGAGAAACATCGATCAGCTGCCTCCTGCACACTCCCCACTGGGGATGTGCCCGCAACCAAGGTACATGCCCTTGACCGGAATCGAACCCGGGACCTTTCAGTCCGCAGGCCGACACTCTATCCACTGAGCCAAACCGGTTTTGGCTCTTTCATTAGACTTTTATGAATTTCCTTATTCTCCAAAATCCTCAGAGTTCTACAGTCACATCTCACATTCTGGCAAATAAGTCTCTTCACATTTATCACTGACAGCATTTTTGGACATTTCTTCTTTACAGAAAGACTACCTTAAAGAAATGAATGGGATGTTAGTACATGAGTAGGTACTAACTACAAATCTGATTGTTCCAAAGAAATTTACTGCACTAAAATTTTGATACATAAATATTGATTGAAATACATAAAGCATTTTACTGAAATTTGGGGACTCTTGCAATAGAGAGATTTTTGGTTATGGTAATCCTTATTGTAGTAAGATTTGATCTACTAGGACTGTTTGCATTATCATGGGAAAGTCTGAAAATATATTAAAATATGTTAATAAACCCTATAAATTAAAATATCCAGTAATGGAAATTCAGTGGGCAGAAAGAAGAATGAACCAGTTTTGTTTTGTTTTTATCTTCACAGACCAAGTAATACATAAATTGATTTTACACAGAGGGGATTTCATCATGATATGCTTATGTTATTCCAAAATTTAAATCACCACTTTGCCTGGACTCTTTGTAGCTATTAACAAGCCAGTCATCTCCGTGCTATTTATTCCCACCTGAAACTTGACCAATAAAGTTCTCTTTTATTCTTGTTATATCAAGCAAGAACTATAAGACTTAACTACTTGGCAGGAGTATGAGCATTTTTATAGCAGGTGTGTCTCTGATATTAGCAAAATCCTCATTTCTCACTGTAGAAGTCTTTTAGGCTTTTGGACTTCTACTTCCTCAGACTATTATATGCCATGATTCGTTTTACACTATTACTATTTATTTACTAACTTCTCTTGTTATTTTTATGGTTTCCTTATTCTTTACCTTTCCCACTGCTCTTTGCCTTCCCATTTTAATCCCTCTTTCTTCTGTTTACTCACTGCCAAATTCCCACACACATTTCCCCTTTGCTTTGTCTTTTTTCAGCCTCCCCCACTGGCAGGATTGTCATGAATTATGGAGTAAGAAACGGCGACGGCAGCGACAAAGTGGTGTTGTGGTAGAAGAGCCACCTCCATCCAAAGCCTCTCGAAAAGAAACTACCTCAGGGACAGGTGCTGAGCCTGTGAAGAACAATAGCCCAGCACCACCACAGCCTGCTCCTGTCAAGGTGGAGCCTGTGGCTGGGGATACAATAGGTCAGTGTTGGGATAGAGACTTTGTGCTTCTTTTAAGCACATTTTGGCAGGTTTTAAAGGTTAAATGCAAGGATGTGTGTGTGTGTTTTAATTTTTAGTCAGTGAAGCATTAATAAAGAGGTTGGTGGTCTGATTATAGGGAAAAGGAGATAAACCAAGTTTTGTACCTGTGGTCTAGAACTACAATAGATGTATTTTCTATTCCTGAAGTAAGGAATACTATATCTCAGTTAGATGTATGGTATAAATCAGTGAATTAGGTGAGCCAAGTTTAATTTAAGGTTACTTCACCATGGATCTCTAAAACATAATTTGAAGTCCTGTATATTTTGGTTTGATAATACCTTAGAAACCAATGATGTTAAATCACAATTGCTAAATGTAGTTAGTTCTGTAGACTGTTATCTGATTTAAATATATATAAAATTGTATAATAATGAACTATTATAACAAAGTAGTTCTTCTGCGGGAACAATAGTTTTTCTTTTTTTTTTTTTTTTTTTTTTTTTTTTTTTTTTTTTTTATTGCTTAAAGTATTACAAAGGGTATTACATATGTGTCCATTTTATCCCCCCGCCCTAGACAATCCCCTAGCCTCCCCTATCCCCCAATGTCTTATGTCCACTGGTTATGCTTCTATGAGTTTTTCTGAACTATAGATATTTTTTCCTTGGCTCACTTTCCCTTCCCTGTCCACCTACAACAGTAATTTTCAGTGCTGGCTACACATTAGAATCATCCAGGAAGCTTTAAAAATAAACACCCCTGAATAATTGCCAGATTTCTAGGGATAAATAAAGGTTAAATGAAATAACTTTTTAAAAATATATATATATATATTTTATTGATTTTTTTACAGAGAGGTAGGGAGAGGGATAGAGAGTTAGAAACATCGATGAGAGCGAAACATCTGTCAGCTGCCTCCTGCACATCTCCCACTGGGGATGTGCCCACAACCAAGGTATATGCCCTTGACCGGAATCAAACCTGGGACCCTTCAGTCCGCAGGCCGACGCTCTATCCACTGAGCTAAACCGGTTAGGGCTAAAGAAATAACTTTTACTTACAATACAGAGATATTTGAGTTAGTCCATGAATTTTTATTTATTTTTAGAACTTTAAAAAAAAATGCTTTTATTGATTTTTAGAGAGAGGGGAAGGGAGAGATAGAAACATTGATCAGCTGCCTCCTGCACACCTTCTACTGGGGATTGAGTCTGCAACCCGGGCATGTCCCCTGACTGGGAATCGAACTAGTGACCTCTTGGTGCATGGGACGCTCAACCAACTGAGCCACACCAGCCGGGCGAGTCCATGCATTTTTAAGCAATAATATAAAGAATAACAGAATGTGGCCCTGGCTGGGTAGTTCAGTTGGAGTATCATCCCAAGGTTGTGGGTTCCATTCCTAGATGGGGCTCATGCAACCAATGAATGCATAGATGGGTAGAGTAGCAGATCCATGTTTCTCTCTCCCTCTCCCCCCTCTTCCTCTTCCTCCTATTCCCTCTCTCTAAAGTCAGTAAATTAAAATAAAAGAATAGCAAATTGTGTCATGACGATTTGAGGCATGAAAAATGAGACATTTTTCATGAAATTTCATTCACTGGATATTATAAGTTGCTATTCCCAACTGAAGAATGCAGAGGTCTTTGTCCTGCCTCATCCTCTTATATTGGCTTCACTCTCTCCACAGGCCTTGGTGACATCACACAACAATTGAATCAAAGTGAATTGGCAGTATTATTAAATCTGCTGCAGAGCCAAACTGACCTGAGCATCCCTCAAATGGTACAGCTGCTTAACATCCACTCCAACCCTGAGATACAGCAGCAGCTGGAGGCCCTGAACCAATCTATCAGTGCCCTAACAGAAGCCACTTCCCAGCAGCAGGACTCAGAACCCATGGCCCCAGAGGAATCTGTGAAGGAGGCACCCCCAGCTTCAGTGGTCCAGCCTTCAGCAGAACAGAAGACCCCTGAAGCTTCAAGCACACCAGCTGACATGCAGAATATGTTGGCAGTTATCTTGAGTCAGCTGATGAAAACCCAGGAGCCAGCAGGCAACCTGGAGGAAAACAACAGTGACAAGAACAGTGGGCTACAGGGGCCCCGAAGAACTCCCACAATGCCACAGGAGGAGGCAGCAGGTAAACAGACCGGTCATGAATCTCATTGAGCTCAGGTGCTGTTGATCCTCTTAAAAATCTCTTTAACATTTTCTTTTTCACATCAATGGCATCGGTTTCAGTTTTTCTGTAACCTAGTCTACAGGAGAACATACCAACAAGTGATGTATTTCTTGTCTGGCTTCTTTTATTTAAGTCTCAAAGCTTTTCAAAGCACCTTTTCATATACTGATTGTTTTTCCATTTCTTAGGAGGTAGGTAAGTAAAGCCCCTGTGTTCTAACCCACAGAAACCACAACCATAGCTAGTGATGTATTTGAACTACTGTGTGTATGGTGGCCAACTAACTCTTGAAAATCTGCCTTCCAAACAAACCATCAGATTGTGCAAATAGGCAGTGATACTCTAGTGTAGTGGATGCTGGATACCAGAGTCTTGCTTGGAAGATTTATTCAAGAAAACCCTAATAAAACCTCATTGTTATCTCATGAAGAATAATTTGGGAATATTTCTAAATAGCTAACACCATACATTTATTTTTTGGGATATTTCTAAATAGATAACACCGTACATTTATTTTTCAAAAATTAATAGCATATAAAAGTGATTCCTTCAAAATATGTGTTTCTGAAAGAGGCAATTGAATGGATTTTAGCTTAGGAAATGAGCATTATATAAAGAAAAAAAAACTTACAAAAGGAAATACGTTTGTTATACCTTGATCGCACATGACCACAGCATGCACTTTATTAGAAGGAAAAGAAGTTCTGATCAATTTTGATTCAGTCGGTTTGCAAAATCTTTATTTATCTAAAAGTGTTTTCAACTCCTTGGAAATTTTTGCTGTCCATGAAGAGCCCATGAATTGGGGAATGAGAAGCGGTACAAGGGTTGAAGAGATTCACTAACCTTCAACTTCAGGGTCCTGCATTCACATTTCATATAGGATGGTGCAGAAAGTATATGCCTTATTTCCACTGGTATAGAGTCAAATATAGAAGCTACTTTTCATATGTAAAGCTTTTTAAAACTGGAAGATAACATAAATAAAATTAGCCCTTATATTTTACAGATAGGGAAACTGCAATCCAGCAAATTTAAATTAGCCTGCTTATTTAAAAAAAAGAAAAGGAAAAAAAAAAAGCCTGTCGATGGTCCCACTGCTGGAACCATATTATTGGCAGAGCCAGAATTTAGCATTGTGTACCCTTTTAATGTGTTTCTTAATTCACTTTGCTATTCTGTCATCTGATTTCAGTTGACTCCAGGACATGGAATAACAGAGAAAGCTAATCTAGAATTAAAGGAGGCCTCTTTGTATCATCTCTCATACCCCCGCAAAAAAAAAAAAAAAATTAGCTATAATCAAAATACCTGAAAGAAGTGGTTCAAATTAATAGCATAATGATTGAAAGAAATTCACTCAATAATTGAGCCAACAAGCTATCAGCTAAATGATGAAATTGAACCAAAATTAAGGCCTAGCCTATGGTAAAAACAATTGTTGGTTTGACTTTTCAGAGGAGAATAAAAATGCCGCTCCTAATTATTAGTCACCCCTGGATTAACCAGCTAGTGTCTCCTGTGTCTCCTGTTGTTTGTCCCCTGCTGCCTCTTTCGGCCATTTTACTGTTCATTAGTACTTCCACCAGAGGGCAGACTAAATAAGCTGCAGAAGGTGAAAATCTATCACTTTGGCTACTGTTTAGCGTCTCTATACTTGTTGGGAAAGGGTTATGGTTGAAAACTGATGAGTCAAATAAAGTTTTAAAGTTATTTGTACCTTTCATTAACACCTCCTTCCATTAGTACAGACTGTTAAAGATTGGCAATATTGTTAACACTAAATTTTACAACAGTATGATATTTTAAATGTGATCTTTATTTTTAATTCCTTTAAGAAGTTTTATTAGTCCTGGCTGGGTGGCTCAGTTGGTTGGAGTGTCATCCTGTACACCAAAAAGTCGTGGGTTCGATTCCTGGTCAGGGCACGCGCCTAGGTTACAGGTTCATATGGGAGGCAACCAATCGATATTTCTCTTTTCTTCCCTTCTCTCTCTCTCTCTCTCTCTCTCTCTCTCTCTCTCTCTCTCTCTCTTCCTTCTCTCTCTTAAGTCAATGAAAGCGTGTCCTCAGGTGAGGATTAAAAACAAAAGTTTTATTAACCTTACTTTAATAGTTTTTTACAATCCATCTGCTTTTGCTACTTTGAAATAGTTTTCATCCTCATACATGTAAAAAATTTGAGCTCAAAATATGACTTTATATTACTGAAACAACTAGGCTAATTACATAAAAGACAAACTTTAAATGTGAATAGTAGTATATCTGGAAAAGTTTAAGTTTAGTTTTGCTCACTTTTGCAGTTGGGTATTTTTAAAGTCATTTTTTCTCAGCATTAAAAATAAACACATACACACACACAAAAAAGAAACCACCAACAACAACCTGGTGTCTATTTCATGTATTGTCCAAAAAATACTTTAAAAACTAATCAGTACTGTGATGTTTTTATGTAGTGAGATATGTAGCATTGGCAGCAAAAATCTCTGAAGTCTATAGATGTTTGTATGTTCAGTTAGCTCTCCTTTTTTAGGATGTCTACTTTTTTAGGATGTCTAACTTTCCATAGCTAATTTTTTTGTCCTTAAATTCATTTTTCCTACCACCTAGTCAACCAGCCAGTGTGTCAACAAGTTACTTGAGCAGGTACTGTATATAGGGTGACCAGCTTGTCTCTGTGCAATCCTGATTTTAAAAGTGAAAGTTGGCAATTTGGGAACCCTCTCAGTTCTCGGTAAATTGGGATTGTTGGTCGCCCTTATTTGTATGTTACATAGAGCATCTGACCTCATCCTTCCACTGCATAACTTCACAATTTTGTAGTGTTTTCATCTGCATGCTCATACTTACTTTTTTATCTTTGCAAAATATAATTGTAGTAAATATGCTACCAAAATATCTAATTATAACTAAAAACTACTTTTTCCTTGTCTGAGGAATGACATTATATTACTAGCTCAGATAATAAGAATTGACTATATGTATATTTCAAAATATAGGGAACGGAAAATCAATCATTTGGAAGATATCCCAAAACATTACGCCTTTTTTCAGCAGGGTAACTTCCAACTCTCTAAATGTACTGTTTTGACTGTACTTGGTTTTTTTATGTTCTCAAACTCATGCCATTTTATATCTCTACCCTGCTGTCTTGGCAAGAGTTCATTTTCAGACAGTGATTGGCATGCTTGGGCAAATTTAGCCAGCAGTGGGGGAAAAAGTCTGGGGAGTTTAGAAAGACAAAGATCTTTGGAAAGACAGAGTATAATATTAGTTTAATACATTTCTAAATACTCAGTTCTTGTCACTGTCTCCGAGATAAACAGATGTTTATCAACAGCCCATTCTGCATGACATTGCTATAGTAATTTTTCTTATAGCATGGAAAAAATGCAGCAGGTTGGGAAACAAAAAAAGTTATTATAGATTACTTTGGTCTTTATAATTACTATAACATAGGAAGCTGAATGACAGTATGGTGGTTAATATTCCATTCTTCAAAATGTGGTTATGGGGAGAGGGACTGAAGTTTGGAGAATCAAGTGTATATTTATACATGATGATAATGAAAGGTTTTTTACTTTATTTCATCTCTCTTGTATGTTCCTTAAGTTCTATTTCAGGTGTTAACATTATTATTATTAAGCATTCTGTAAAATGTGTTAGCTAAGTCCATGCAAGGTCTCCATTGTACAGCAAATATTATGTCTTAGAAATGTGACCACAGCATGTATATTGTTCCCTCTCATCTTCCTTCTTTCTACTTTATTTTCATTAATGTTTTGATTCAACAGCAAAAAGGGTCAGGAAGGCTGCCAACAGCCTACATTATTAGAACAGTTCCTTAAAGAAGGAAATGGAGGAAATCTCAGACAAAAATCAGAAAAATATTTGAAACATATGATCTTTTTACAACAGCTGTTAGATCCAGAATGCAACTGTTTTGCTTTTAATCACTTGATTTTATTTATAAATTGAAATTTCCTGATCCCGAGATTTTATTCTTTTATATATATTTGGTTACTTGTATTGATATATGTTTATGTTGGGTAGTATTTGTGTGTGTGTGTGTGTGTGTGTGTGTATGTATGTATGTGTTTATAATCACATGTGATTTTTAAGATGGTGTTAAAAGAAGTAACCCTTCCACAGCATGTCCTCCTCACATTCTTCCACCAGAGAAGAGGCCCCCTGAGCCCCCCGGACCTCCACCGCCGCCACCTCCACCCCCTCTGGTTGAAGGCGATCTTTCCAGCGTCCCCCAGGAGTTGAACCCAGCCGTGACAGCCGCCTTGCTGCAACTTTTATCCCAGCCTGAAGCAGAGCCTCCTGGCCACCTGCCACATGAGCACCAGGCCTTGAGACCAATGGAATACTCTACCCGACCCCATCCCAACAGGACTTACGGAAACACTGATGGGCCTGAAACAGGGTTCAGTGCCACTGACACTGATGAACGCAACTCTGGTCCAGCCTTGACAGAATCCTTGGCCCAGACCCTGGTGAAGAACAGGACCTTCTCAGGCTCTGTGAGCCACCTTGGGGAGTCCAGCAGTTACCAGGGTACAGGGTCAGTGCAGTTTCCAGGGGACCAGGACCTCCGTTTTGCCAGGGTCCCCTTAGCATTACACTCAGTGGTCGGGCAACCATTCCTGAAGGCCGAGGGAAGCAGCAACTCTGTGGCACATGCAGAGACCAAATTGCAAAACTTTGGGGAGCTGGGGCCAGGAACCAGTGGAGCCAGCAGCTCAGGAGCAGGCCTTAACTGGGGGGGCCCAGCTCAGTCTTCTGCTTATGGAAAACTCTATCGGGGGCCTACAAGAGTCCCGCCAAGAGGGGGAAGAGGGAGAGGAGTTCCTTACTAACCCAGAGACTTCAGTGTCCTGAAAGAGTCCTTCCCTGTCCATCCTCCATCCAGTCCTCTGAACCTTTAATGAAATCATTTGCCAGAGCGAGGTAATCTTCTGCATTTGGCTATTTCAAAGCTATTCATTGTATTCCTTGCTCACTTGCTACTAAGCACGAGACATAAAATAATGATGTTGGCAGCATTTCCCCCTGGATGGGTTGGTTATAGTCAGAACATTTAGTTCAGCTCTACCTAGTAAATATAAGTAGAGAATTTGGAGAGGGTCATTAAATGGAAAAGTAAACGCTTTATTAGTTCATTGCCCGCACATCTTGAGCAGAAGAAAAAGAGAACAGTTTCAGTTTTTTGAAATGGCCCAGGAAGAGGCTCTTTAGGTTTTGAGGATTATTTTTTTATGTTTTGTTCTTTTGAATTTAGTTTTTTGGATTTTTTGTTTTGTTTTTTAAAGAAAGAATAGTGTTCACAAAATTTGAGCTGCTCTTAGGCTTTTGCTGTAAGGGGCAAAGAGTGACTGACTGATTTAAATAAATGTTTCCTTCCTCTCCACCACCTCACATTTTGCTTTCAAGTAAACTCTTCTTTTTCCCCCATTGAGCATCTTTAACATTCCTTTTTTCCAAATAAATTACTCATCCTTAAAGTTTGCTCTGTTTTGGCAAAAGACATGACCCCTTTTCCTGTATATGAAGCAGGTTGTAGAAAGTGGCATTCTTGGGCAAGTAGGTAGACTTTATCCCATCTTTTTCCTTTTTTACCCCATCTTCATAGAGGTTTTCTTTGTCTCTTTTTGAGGCATTTGTTTGGAAAAAAATTAATCGTTGAGATGCCCAAGAACCTGGGATAATTCTTTACCTTTTTTGAAATAAAGGAAAGGAAATTCAAACTCCTTTTTTGTTCTCTGTAACTCTTCAATTCTAAAATGTTTTTCGTTTTTTTTTAAAACCATGTTCTGATGGTGAAGTTGATTTATAAGTGCAGACAGCCTAGGCCATTGCTGCTGAGTTGGGACTAGAGATGATGCCTTCAGACCTAGAGGACTAGAAAGAGCAGTTAGCATACTGTTTACACATATATTTTTATGTAAAAAAATAAACCCAAACCTTTGAAACAGAGCATTTTAATATTGTCAAAGAGAAAATAAACATCCTGAAAATACATGGAAATGTAATTAGTTTAGGGTAGATATTTTTCTGAAGATATTTCAATACCTGAGACCTTTTAAGAAAATACTTTTGAAAGAGCAGAACATAAGAACGAACAGTATTGACATATACACATCTCTGCATGTATATCCTGCCAATTCTTTTAGGGATTTTCCTCTGGAGAGATTGGGTTTTGGTAAAAGGGGTGAAATTATGATCTCATGGCAAGTATTTTTCCTTATTATAAAGAGGAAATGGAAAAGGGAAAGGCTTTCAGGGTGGGATAACGGGAGGCTTCTCATTCTGGCTTTTGTTTCTATGTGAGTACCAGCATATAATGTGTTCTAGGAACATACACATTTATATAAATTATCTGCACAGACTTAGACATTTGTGAAAAATAGGTTAGCTCCTTTTTTTACAAAGAAAAGGCAAATGTGCTTCAGCATCTTGAATAGTTTTCAGAACTCAAGTGAAGTTTCATGTTTCAATGCCAAGTTCTTACATTAAAAAATTAAAGACTACTTGTAAGAGAAAGATGCACTAATAAAAAACTTTAGAGAAATGAAAGAAGAACCCTCTTCAGATACTTACATGAAGATTATTTTTCCCTGTCACCGAAATAGGTAGATTCCTGGTGTGTGTATTTCTTTATTCTTTGGGTTTTGGTCTGGCCTTGCCCTCAGGGCCAAACGTTGATGAGAAAGAACCTACTAGCCATTTTGGCTTTGATGGCTTTTTATACCAATATGTCCAATTAGATTTGCTAGGTTCACTGACATGGTATTGGTATGTTGCATTAAAGTTCATCTAAACTTTTTTTTTTCTTCAATATTTTGTATTGATGTTTAGAGAGGAAGGGAGAGGGAGAAAGAGAAACATCAATTGGCTGCCTCTTTCACAACCCCCAACTGGGGATCAAGTCCACAACCTGGGCATGTGCCCTGACTGGGAATCGAACGGGCAACCTTTTAGTGCACAGGACAATGCCCAACCAACTGAGCCACACCGGCCATGGAATCTGAACCTTTTGTCTGTTGACTTCTTAGTCCTCAGACATGGACCTTTGTATTTTAGAATATTTGAATTTGAGGCATTGAGCCCCACTTTCCCAGTTTTGATTAAAGAACTCAGAAGTACATATTCAATGGGGAAAAAAATTGGTTTCCCATCAAATATGAATAAAATTTTCTATACATTTTAATTATATTTTGATTATCAGCAGTCATCAATAATACTTCTTCCCCTTATCACACCTTATTTTTAATTATGCCAAATATTCTAAATGATATGCTTATGTCTCCATCATTCCCTGCTACTAGGGAAGGGGGTGAGTGTATGTGTGTGTGTGTGTATGTGTATGTATGATCCCATCTCAACCCCAGACCCCCATTTTGGGAGTCTAACCTTTAAAATGGGGGGGGACGGGGGGGCGGGGAAAGTTTGGTAATTTTGACTATTTCTAAAAGCAGAGGAAAAAAGGAACTCACTTAAATATCCTGGAATCTGTGGAGGAAGAAAAGGTATTTGTTAATTTTTCAGCTGTGTTATCTATAAACATAATGGAAGTAAAGGTTTGGCAGAATTTCAACTTGACTATTAGAAAACTATAAATTACATTCAAAAGCAGTTTAAGTATTGTACCATGGGAGGTATTAAGTCCATTAAATACATTATTTTGAACAGATGAGAAACCTGATTCTGTTCATGAATGAGACAAAACTTGTTTGACCATAGTTATTTTTTTGGTTTTGAAAACAAATTTGCTTGATCCAGTTTCCTTAGTTTTTTCAACTTTCTATAGGAATGATAAGGATTTGAAAATGACATCAGATCTATATGTTTAAAAGCAGGGCAGTTAGCACAAATTTGTAAGTAGAACTTCTGTTAGCTTATGCCATAGACATCATCCAACCACTTGTGTGTGTGTGTGTGTGTGTGTGTGTATATATATATGTATATACGTGTGTGTGTGTGTGTATATATATATATATACATATATATATATAATATGCATATATAGTTACAGTACTAAAATGGTTACTAGCAGGTTTTGAGAGAGAGTGCTATATCAGAAAAGTGTCAGTTGCCGCCTCATTCTCCCTGATTTAGGTTCCTGACACTGTATTCCTTTCTCTCTTGATTTTGCCCCCCATCGGGTGTACCTTGTCTGTGTACAGATATTTTGTAATATATTAATTTTTTTCTTTGAGTTTATAAAAATGGAAAGTGGAGATTGGAAAATTAAATATTTCCTGTTACTATATCACTTGCTCCATTGCATTTACTTCTTAATCTGTTACCTCTGAGCAAACCCAATTAGGTATGGAAGGCATTTTTCCCCCTCCACTTTATCTTAGGAGTTCTTTGTCGCAGAATCACTGCAGATTCATAAACTACCAAAATAAAAGTCCTCACGGTTTAAAGAGGTGTTTCAAAACACAAGACTAGGAACAAGAAAATTTTAAAAGTTGGGGAAAACTGTAAGATGTCATTTTTTAAAAAGTAGAAAACAGTTACACAAATAATGGTAGTACTAGGCCATCAAAAAAGTTGAGCTTCATGTACCCTGACTCCTCCTGAAGGGAGAGGTAAGTGGGTTTGAGCTCAACTGTCATCCAGGGAAGTTGGTAAGAGGGTGTTTCGATTGAAGAATAGTCTCTTAAACCAGGATCACCACCACCACCCCTGACCAGTCCTGTGTTACCATGAGTAAGGTCAGCATGGTAATTAGTCTTCTAGCACTGTTGAGATTTCTGGATACATTGCCAATTCAGAAAGTTATTTGTAAGGCTAAAATTCCTGTCGTCTCCAAAGTCTTAACTATCTCCAACTGAGGAGATAATTGCTCTCCCTTCTCTTTCATGGTTTAGGACACAGAACTAATTTTTTTCTTGTAGTATGTGTTGCATTCCTGCTAGTTGTGTACAAGTAGGCAGAGAGCAGATAAAACCCATCAAGAGACAGGAAGAGGGGAGATATAGGTATCAGGAAATTATGAATGGGGTTAGCAATTATACAAAATTACAGGGTACACCAGAAATTAGGAAGAAATTGAATTTTCAAAAGCTGGTGGTAATGAGGGTTGTCAGCTTGCTTTTGAATCCCTAAAGTCTAAGATTGTTCCCTTACCTGTGGGTTGTCCCATGTTTATCCAGAAGGAGAATGGAGAGCTCAAGGTGGTTCCAGTTCCTGGAATCCTGTGTTCCTGGTTACGCTCCAAAGAAAAAGAACTCTTTTTTCAGTCTTTATATGTTTCAAATTCATGACTAGGAGTGTGAACTTCAACTTAGAATATACTCTAGTAGAGTATATTGTTTCCACTCATAGCAATGGCTACTTTTTCAATTTTGGGCCTAAAGGCTGAGGACCTACTAGTAACTGGACTTTTTTAATTCCTATCACATCCAAGGCTGTTTCTAACTAGAAACCATACAGTTCAGTACCTAAATTTGTTCGGCACTATTTTTTCCCAGACAGGCATCCTTAATTGTATGGTAAGGTTAATGCCTTAAGGAAGTTAATATTTTTGGTGCTGAACTGGGATTTCCATCGTTATTTAAGATTGCCCCACAGGTTGACTGTTTGGGGATATTGAGTTACTTCTCTATTCACAACTTAGTCACCTGAAGTGTGTGGAGTGGAAGTAGAGTTCCTCAAGAAAATACTTAACCATTCCAAGGCAGAGATGGAACTGCTACGTCTCTGGTTGTCCTGAGGGACAAGGTGAACATTCCTGGAACATTTGGATTAATTTTACTGTCCAGGTGTAGCATTTCTCACAGCCTTAGGAATACTTTCACGTTAGTTTACTCCAAGCCAGGGTTGAGACATTGGGGGAAGTATGACACCTGAAGGAATTACTAGTGATACTCTACTACTACTCACCATCTGCAGCTGTCTCTCCATCTCCAGTCCACCTACTTCTTCTGATGTACTATTTTTCTCTCTTTTCCCTACTCACTACCCAACTCACATGTGTCAGGCCTTACCAGAGGTATTGATTGCTTAACTTGGCAGAGTATTTAGAGTGATGGCCACTTCACAGTTTTGAAGGATAAGGAGAGGCAATTCAGAAGACAGATGTCTCTTCCAGATCCTCAACTTTTGGGGTGAAAAATGAGGGAGAACGCAAAATAACCATGCTTTTTTATTGTTAGCTGTGAAAGGAGCTTTTAACTTACGTTGTGTGGGGTACAAGAGGTTTTTTATTTTTTACTAGGAAAGAGGGAATCTCAACCTTCACTTATCCTCTCCCCTCATAGCCGGAGACTTGCTTTTACTGATGACATTTCTACGCTCAAGTTGCAGATGGTGTCTGTGGGAAGTAAGGCTTGGTGAGAAGAGGGCCCTGCTATCCGTGAGAAAGCAGATGAGGGCTGCCTGGATGCCCTGATGATAATCATTATGGTGGCAAAACGCTTTGGCCATTGGATTGTCTCATTATATCTCTATTTAAAAAATTAGTAGTACAAGGTTAAGAGAAAGAGGCTGATGAAAAGTTAGTCTTGAATACTCTCTAGAGATGATTAGTTAGCGAAGTTTTCTGAAGATACAGTCTTCAGCTATAGCATACTTCTCTGGAATAAGAGGGTATAGCCATGAAGTACATTAACTTAGACATAGGTTCCCTAGGAACTAGAATAGATGGATTTTTGGATGTTTTGTTCTGTCATGGCTGTAAACTGGAGATAATGTTGATAGCCCTAAAGGAATAAAGGCCGTTTTATCCAAACCAAACCATCCCTGAGGAGGAAGCATAGAGAGACCTTAAAAAGGCTACCACTTAACAGTCATAGCTAAGTGAAGAAGGAAGCCTGGGTCTTGGAGGAGGGTGCCTTTCTCCTTTAAGGCAGCGGTCCCCAACCTTTTGGACCTCATAGACCACCAGTGGTCCACAGACCACCGATTGGCGACCTCTGCTTTAAGGAGCCTATCAGATGGGCTGTCTCAAGAGGATCCTTCTCCCTTCTGTGTCTCAGAACTACAACACTGCCTAATGAGGGTACCCTTGGTGAGGATCAGCTTGTAGGCAGACAACCACCTCAAGTTTAATGCAATTTTGAATGCTTTTGGCCCTGGGGAAAAGAGCCTGAATTCAAAGACAGAGAGCTTAGGAATCTGATCCCTTTTATAAATTCAGAAACTTCTGAGTTTGGCCTTGTACCAGTGTTTGCAATTTCTGTTTAGGGACCAAAGGTTTCATATAAGGAGAAACAGTATGAGGAGATGGAGAGAAGGAGAGAACTAGACCAATCTCCTGGCTGAGCTGTAGAAAGAGACTTAGGGTATAATTGCTTATAAAGAAAAATAGGGCTATAGGTGGGAGGAAAAATTATGGTTGGGCTAGTGAAAGTTTGGGGATAATGCCTTAAAGGTGCACAGTTTCAGGGAGGCCTCATTAAAGCATCACTGTGAGCAACAGTAGTTTTACCTTTATGGGTGGAGGTTGGGCCTAGAACTCTTGGTCTGGGAGATGTTATGAAGACATTTTCACTAGGGAAGCTAGATTATATTAAGCAAATAACTTATATAGGGACATTTTGCTTAGCACTGCTATCTACATAGTTCAAGAGAGAAATTCAGGAATAAGGAAGGAATGATATGGATGCATCACATTAAAAAGTTGTTTGTATTTTTGGAGTTTTAAAACTGCAAGTGTTTTTTGTTTGTTTGTATTTTTAGGTCAACCTGGACACTAGTATTATTCCTCTCCCCTTCATTTTAGATCCAAGTGAAGGCAGTACATAGCTCAGCAAACTAACCAGAATGTTAGAGCTAAAGGACATTAGTTTGTTTAGTTCACTGCCATCTTTAGCCAGAGGGGGGAAAAACAGGCCCAGAAAGAAGAACCCTAAGGTATTGGAAGGCCAACCGGAACTAACATTGTCAGGAAACTACTATGTGTCAGGTACTGTGCTAAGAGCTTTGCTTTTATTACCTTGATTCTTAAGCAGCTGAAGCTAAGGAATGGAAAGATTAAATGGCAAATTAATCTTATTAACCCGAACATAGGTAGGAGATACACAGGAATGGCAGATCACTTCTTCCCACGAGGCTAAACTAGAGGAAGTGAAGAATCAGGTTTAAGAGTGAGGTTAATTTAAGGAATTATTCACTGAATAGTTGAAAGAGACTCTTGAGTAACTTCTCTATTCCTAGAGGCCATCCAAAAAATGTAATGGTCAGAAGTAGACTTGCCATAACCGGTTTGGCTCAGTGGATAGAGCGTCGGCCTGCGGACTGAAGGGTCCCAGGTTCGATTCCGGTCAGGGGCATGTGCCTGGGTTGCGGGCACTTCCCCAGTGGGGGATGTGCAGGAGGCAGCTGATCGATGTTTCTCTCTCATCGATGTTTCTGACTCTCTATCTCTCTCCCTTCCTCTCTAAAAAATCAATAAAATATATTTAAAAAAAAAAAAAAAGAAGTAGACTTGAGGCAGGGCTAGAAGATTACTATTGGCTCTTGGATTGATTTGCATTCTAAAAAATTAGGTCATGACCTGAGAATATAGGATTAATCTTAGGAATAGGAAACAAAATGGTGCTTCTCATCGTAATTAAGGGGACTTCAAAGAAAGTAGTGTTTATGTACTGTGAATCAAGGAGGTAACCAAATTCTTCTGGTGGCTATGCTTTTTTGTTTTGCAATACACTTTGAAGTCATGAAACAATTTGTAATTCTGGAAAGACTCAGTGCCAAGTTCGGTATTGGTAGGGGAAGATGACAGCCTGAAAATTGACGTTGAGAATAAGATTGTATTCCTTGTAGTTGTTTGATATATACCCCCAAGAGTTATACCAGGGGGGCTGTTTCAGTGGGGAGCAATAATTCATTAGCTGAGTTATGTCTGGAGTACAGTGCAACTTCTGGGGGGAAATTAGGGGAGGGCCCCATCTTTAGGAACTTTCGGGTCTAGAATAAGTCTCATACCTGGGAAGTAGGGAATTGGTATTTATTAAGTCAGGTTATAAAATAAGTTAGTAACGGGAGCCAAAGTAAAGGAATAATCAGAAAATTTTTGAGTTAACCAGAGAAGATTCTTTGAAGGTAATGAAGCTAGGGAACATGGAACAGAAGAGAAGAAGGTGATTAGAGAGGGGAAATTTATGGAAGAAGGTTTATGTGTGTTTTGTGCAGAGGGCTGTGAATGGACTAGTCAGAGTGGCACAGGAAGGAATATTAGGGAATGAAGTCAGAGGAACAATCTTGTTGGCCGAATGAAGAATTTAAATTTGATGTGGTAAGCAGTAACAGCAGAGCATG